TTCTGACCAGACTAGTGGCAGATCCAAGAGCACAAAAACGTTGCTTGCATCTCTGTAGAACGTTATATATATATATATATATATATATATATAGGCCTACATCATTTATTTTTTTTTGGGGGGGGGGGAGATTTTTTTAATTATGGTTTCCTCGTGTATTCATTCTTTTAGTTATTAGTTAATCAATTAATTAATCCATCATTTTATTCATTCTTTTAACTGTTAGTTAATCAATTCATTAATTCATCTATAATCCGAATTTTATTCCATCATTTATTTATTTGTTTGTATGTTTTGATTATCACTATTTTTGTTTACATAGGGTAGCCCTTTGTTTGTGATTCTTACATGAGGGATAATGGGATGGTGTCGATGGGGGCTGTGCTAGGAGTAGATGGATAGGTGGGTGCTACTCCATTGTCTAATGGTGCTGTAGACGGTGTTTGGGGATTATCTCTAGAACACCTAAAAGACAACAGAAACACCGACATAACATTTCCCATCATGATATTGGCCTCCCGTGTGTATGATTCGATATTAATTCCATGACGTAATGCTTTTCACAAACAGTTGGAAATATTAACTATGTTTCTCAATTGCACCACTTTAAATTAACAAGAGCATTACTATTTCACTTTTATTGCGCTTAATGAATTTTTTGATGTTGATATTTACCACGAGACACAAGTAGACGGGCCGCTGTCGACAGGAGAGAGGACCGTTGGCTGCCATGTCAGATCCTGAAGGAAAAAAAGAAAAGAAAATCAAACAGTATTTCTCATGGACATTCTATAGTTATACAACTATGAATATATTTGTTTGTATCATTATTAGCATGCCGTCTTTTTCTCAATTTTGAAATAAGAGAACCATATCGGAAGAGACAAAAATGGTGAAAACCAATTATACTAATGAATAGCAACATTCTTATACCGTCAAACCGATATGCAACAAAAATAGACAAATAAATAAATAAATAAATGGTTTACATGGAGATTCTTCAAAGCAGCATCTTTCTGCTTTCTGGCCTCAGCCAGCTCTAGCTCCAAGACTTGACCATTCATGGCCTGGTCCAGGTACCTCTCCTCAAATGCCTTAGCCCTTCTCTCTGCGGACACTCTCCTCCTCTCTGATTCTGTCACCATAGAGCTGATCTTAGTGAGAAGGGCTGTGCTATCTCCATCAGCCCTAACTCCAAGCTGAGTTGCCAGGCTCTGTCATCCAAAACAAAGAAAGAAGATTATAAAAAATAAAAAATAAAAAATAATAAAAAATCATTTTGAATTTTGGGTTTCTTATTTCAATTTCTGATATTTTTTATAAATATTATATGATACTTGTTTGTATTAAAGCATCAGACATACAATTCAGTTTTACCTTATATGGTTTAAAACTTTAAATAAACTCATTCTTAACTTAACTTGTTACAAATTAATCAATTTTTAATTTGTACTCAAGACTTACAACAATGCCTTGCTGAAGTTGTTCTTTCTCCAAGTTGTTCTGGAGGTACTTCAGAAGGAGCTTGCCCGACATAGCTGGTGTGGGTGAAATGGTAGAAGGCAGAGAGAAGCTGGGATCTTGGAAGGACCTACATAGCTCCTGTTTATATTAAGTTTGAGGCAAAAATGGTAACTGATTTGTTTTTGTATCGGTGAACTGATGTCGCAATATACGGCTATATCATACAGTAGGCCACCTCCAAAATTCCAGTGACTATGCATGGTAACCGCAAAGTATACCATCTAAATGTGTTTTATATTTTCTTTTTCGTATTTTCTTCCAAATAACTGTTTTTTTTCTTCTTCATTTTGTTAACATTTTTGCCTATATATTTTACGTTGGTTATCATTTTTTTGTTGATCGTTTGAAGTATTTGTCGTATCTACCTGTATCTATATATAATTTTTCTTATTCTTTTATTTATTTCATTTCACATTATTTTCTTGCTTACATCCTGGGGGATAGCCATCGGTGGTTGGATGACAACAGGAAAAGCTGACCCGATAATACAGGGTAAAGGTCTGCCAAGGATATAGGGGTGTGGGGAGCGAAGACGTCCGACGCAAAACATTTCCAGTGATATTATTTAGAAACTGTGATCTAAACGGGGGGGGGGGGGGGGCGAAGGAGTAAGGAGACGAAGTTGAAATGCATAAATAACACATGAAAAGAAAAGGGGAGATAATGTCATCACGTAAGCGGGTTAGGCAGACATCATGATCAAGATCATCGTTAACATGCGTGTTTAGTATGATACGGGAATGGATGTGGACAACAACAAAAGTCAACGAAAAGTTATTTTTGCTTCGATAAAATATAAAATATTGTTCCGTTTTTCTTCGAATTTGCTCTAAATAATCATTAATGTGTAAGAATTAGGTACTTACGTGGCGGATGGAAATAAGATCTTTTAAAAGAGTGAAAAATAGGCAAAAACTGTCAAAAGTTTGGCAGAAAGTTCTCGAGATCGCAAAAGTGCAAGAGAATGTGATTTGTGTACATTTTTGTTACCAGGGCGTTAGCTAGGGCGTAAATACTTCCAACGCGCAGCGCATACATGAAGCGCATCATTGTGCTTCCAGTTTAGTGGCCCGTATTGGCGTTAAACGCTTTAACTACGCCCTGCCACGCCCTGTAATGCGCAGAAGCCAGTGCCTTGCGACGATACTGTCATTCAAGTTGTCAATGTCAATGTAATGACGTCATCAGAGTTTGACATAACTGACCAATCGTGGAGCATGAACCTTGCTTTCTTTCGAAAATTATTGTTTGGTTACCAATAAAAAAAACATTTCGTTCCATTTTTACATGAAATTTAATGATAAAATTGTTTGTTTTATTAATACAAAAGGGGATGAAACTGAACGAAAAAGCAATGCTTATTTATCATTTTTTTAAAATTAAAATAAAGAAAATGCCCCTTAACTGACCAATCACGAAAAGCCTACTATTCATGACGAGCGGTAGAGCAATCTTTTTAACCAATCAGAAGTGATACCTTTCTCAGGTGGAGTTGAGGGGAGGGGCCGGAATAGACCTACCCGGATTAGATTGATTTTGGATTATAGGAAATGGAAGTAACTTTGCCGTCAAGCTAACACTTACAAACTATGCGTGATCTGACCCTATCGTCGGAGTCATCTTCATATGAGGAGTTAATTATTTTACAGATTGTGCTTCGGCATGATGCTTATCCGTTTTCTCCCCCACCACCTGCCTGCTCTCACCTTCACTTCATCTCACTCGGTCTCTCCCTCTCTTCTCTTTCTCTCTTCTCTTTCTCTCTCTCTCTCTCTCTCTCACTCTCTCTCTCATTCTCTCTCTCCCATTCTCACTCTCTCTCCCCCTTTCACCATCATTTGTGTTTGTTCCCTCGTATCAGGACAATTACCCCCGGAAAACTACCCCCAAGGACAACCACCCCGAGGATAACATCTACCCCCAGAAATTTTCCCCTAGGAAAATATTATTCCTGTGGAAAAAAAAGAAGAAAACAAATTTGGTGACCAGAAATTTACCTTTTCTTTTTTTGCTCAAGGGGAGGGGGGGGGGGGGGTGTTAGTAAAATAAAAAAGCGCTCACTATGCCACTCATCCCCCCCCCCCCCCCCCCCACTGAGCGATTTTCAATTGCTATACTTTTATCAACTTATACAGATACAGGTTACATTATACACTTAGAGTTTAGATTGTATGTACGTAGTATATTTTAGTTTGTTATACTCTTTGTAAGATTTGTTGTTATTATACTCATCATGTTTATATATCTATGTAACATATGATTTATGAACCTCTGCCTTGTGCAGCCGAGTCTGAAATAAAGTTCTGAATTGAATTGAATTGAAGCATTAAACAATATCAAGAGATGAATCTTAAATGATTGACAAATGTTTTAGGATCCATTTCAACCCCTGCTGAAACTAAATGGTAGCACATAGGGGGGGGGGGGGCATTTAGGGTCAACTGTACATTACTCAATTGTAATTATCCAACTATTATAATTGTGTTCATAAGATTATATCATATCTGATTTTTTTTTCCTTCATCATTGTATGCGATATGTATTTCTGTTAATTCATGCATATTTAAATCTTTAGATTAATCAATTAATATATTGTTTATTTGATTGTTGTAAAGCGCATAGAGAATTTTTATTATGCGCTATATAAAAATGACTTCGTTATTATTATTATATCCACCCCACCCCCTTTTCTTTAGAATGCAGCATTTCAGCAATACTAAGAGATGAAACTCAAGAGACATGGCAAAGATTTGCCCCTCTGAAAACTTGTTATCAACTTGTTGTTGTGGCCATGCATGAACAGCTTTGTTAACGACAACAACTGTTTTAAGCTACTGATTAGTTGAAAGCCCGTTTGTTACAAAAAAGTGACAATCGGTACAAATAAAAAGTTTTAAGATACATAGGCCAAGGGAGAGTATACAGGTAGAGATAGAGGGTGAAATTAAATCCCCAAGTAGTTCCCAACAGGCTTGTTGATATAGGCCAGGTAACACCGCTGCTGTTTGTTTATGTACTGAATAAACGGCAAATGGCAATGAAAAAAGGGGCTGCGCGCGAAAAAGGCCTATCCGTATTCACATATCTGTGTGTTATAAAATACTAAAATATGAACTGTAAAATGCTTTTTTAATATTTTTAATCCCAGTAAATTGTGGCTGCTTTCCAAGCTGTATGTGAACAAGCCGAGAATTTCAAAACTAACAGAACATTTATTATGAAAATCATTATAAAATTTCATGCAATATGATGGATCCTTAAAGTTTTTAAAGAGACAAAAGCAATGGAAAGGTAGACACATTTTTTTTTGTCAGTGTTTATTTTCAAATTCAATATGACATAAAATAAGTATAATGAATACAATTTCAAGTACATTAACATATTTTTGCATACATATATCAAGGATTTTTTATAGAAGTACTATGCTAATAGGACGGCATTCACAGTTCAAAATATTAATTCTTAATTTGAATATATCTGTAATATTAATGTGTGTTTTCCATACAGACCTTTATGAAAAATAAATAAGCACATATTCAATTTTTATATCACAGAAGAAAAAAATAGCTAGTAGAAGTAAAATAAATGTGATAATTGAGTTTTATTTCCATTAAGAGAATGAAAAAAATACAACAAAAATGGGCGAAATTAGGCAGGAGAAAAGTAATATATCTTAGGTAAGTTCAATGACAAAATTGTACTTGAATAGACTTTTGTATCCTTCTGTTCTTGAAATTTATACACACTCTAGTAATATACATATGTACAACTCAGTAATGATCCAAAACATTAAAATATAAGAGGAGAAAGGCCACATGTTTCCTTTGTACAAGTATGAAAATTGAAAGGGGAATATACATAATTCCCTTCCTTGTAAGGATTTTCAGTTAGATATATTGTTCCATTGTGTCCAGAAAAATAAAATAGCATTTAATGTTGGAGGAAATCATGAATATGCATGTCAAGATCATTAATCAAATAGAAGATGTACTCGAGGAAGTAACTATTTATCTTTGATGACCTGTGTAGCGTTTGATACATCCCCCCCCCCCCCCTCTTCCCCAAAGACAAACTTCATATAATGTATGTTAATTTCAGAGTTTGCTAAATTCAATATCATGAAATGAAGAACACATAAGCATGTGTATCCAAAAATGTATGTTAATTTCATAGTGTGCTAAATTCAATATCATGAAATGAAGAACACATAAGCATGTGTATCAACAACAAAAAGTCAAATAAATCTGATCAAGTCTGTTCCACTTGGCTAAACTGTTGTTTATTAGTGAATTCATTCCCGTTTCAATCCTCCTAGACCAACCATATTGCTGGGGATGTCCTCCTAGCTCTTAGCTCTTGTTATCCTTGGGTGGCTCCCTGACTAGGGCTAGCAGCTTGTCCATCTTGGCGATCTCAGCCTCTGGTCCGTGGTTGAGGACGGCCCCCTTCTTGTCCTTGGGCACCTTCCTGAGGTTGGGGGAGAGCTTGAGGCTGGAGATGTAGCCCCGGTCGTCACCCACCAGCAGGATGGGGAAGTTTGGGTTGAAGGTGACGTGAGTCAGCTTGGTCTTCTTCTTCTGTACCACAGCCTGCTCGCAGATCGGCTCATACTTGTTGAGATTGAGGTCAAACACATGCACCTAGGAAAGACAAAGACAACATATTGTTTTACAACCATGGGAATCAGTGGAGTCGGACAAAGTAGAGATCGATCACAGAGCATTTCCACATCATTGGCCTTATCTTGGACCCAATTTACTCTTAAACCAAAGAATAATTTTCTTATCAAAATCAAAGAAAGGTTCCTCTCTCTCTCTCTGTCACGTTATAGGTTGATAATCACATCAGCAAAATGGTTCTTCTTTCCTGCTTGAATCAAATCACATTATTGATCAAATCTGATTCTGTAGTTTCTTTGAAATGACTCCTCTGTGAGATTTTTAGTCACTAAAAGTCTCCATGTTGCTAAGGTACAGGGTTCCAATCCTGGTCGCGACACTAATGTCCTTTGGCAAGATCTTAATATACATGTGCCACACTTTATCCAGGTGTACTAAGTGGGTACCTGGTGGGATTTACTCTTTCAGAGCACTGAGCTCTATGGTTGGCAGAGCTAAAGTTGAGGTAATAATATATAAGGTCCTTCGGAAGTGCACAGACATGTTGTTATGTAAAATGAGCTATACAAGAACAGCATATTATATGGACTCACCTTGCCATCTGCTGTGACTGCTGCAAAGACTGTAGAGGAGTAAGGAGCCCAGGCTACATCACCAACTGCACTTCCAAGGTCAAAGGTGAACATTGGCCCATTCCTGTATTCAAAATGATTGTTATATTAAAAATTAAAAAAATAAAACTTGGTTGACACTTCCAAATCATGGACAAATATATACTAACATATGCAAATAAATAAATAAATCTTGAATTGATCGATTCACTTCACATTGCGTATAAGTCTTGCTTTAGCCTTACCAAAGTTAATATCATAGAACTCAAGTTTGCAAAACCTCAGTATTTAAAAAAATTATCCACAACAACATATTTAAAGTTTTAACTACAAGCTGGGCGAGCTTTTATTTTTTAACTACAAGCTAGCAGAACCTCGCAGTTAATTTCGTCCGCATGGCGAGTGAAGAACCTCCACCCCCAGGGCTAAAATATTTGCAGTTTATACTTTCAAGAACACTCAAAGTTTCATAACCACCAGTGCATCTGTAGCGTCTAACTACAAGATAACCCGGAAGTTTAAAACTATGACCTAAAATACAAGTTTACAGGCTGTCATGTGAACATAACTAGCAAGATTTTGGCATTGTAACCAACCTGTAGGTGTGGTCCCAGATCTTGACGCTCCAGTCGGCACTGCAGGAGATGAAGATCTTCGGATGGAAGTGGTTCCACATCACCTTGTAGACAGCCATGTGATGGGCATCAAACGTGTCCAGGAACTGGCTGGAGTAGGCCTTGGAACACTTGTGGATCTTACCCTCTTCTGTACCCACAAGGAACAGGTAGTCTGTCTGCTTGTGGAAGTCAAAGCAGGTACCACAGCCTGGATGAAGGGATGAAGAGATGACGGGAAAACAAAATCATAAGATTAAATTGGCAATGATTGACATTCAAGAGAAGTAATGCGCTAGCTAGCAGCATCTAATAATTGTCTGTTACGAACAGCAAAAGAATTAACTACTTGCAAAAGTGTATGACTCAATGCCCTTCTCAGCATATGATATATTTATTGCTTAAATGTTAGCAATACGGGAACGTCTTCAGAAATACATATACATGTACCAATGGAAGTTAAAGTTCTGTTTTCAGACAGATGATTCAATGGCTTGATATTCAACTTCAAATTAAAGGTCATATACAATGCAAAATGATATCGTACATACAAGGAGAAAAATATGAGACAGTATTTAACAGATTTCTTTCCGATTTTTATTTTGCCACCAAAACTGACCAAGAAAACCAAGAACAATCCTCATAAGGAACACAAAAAATGTGTTCATTTACTGCCAATATTAAACCTAAAGGTCTGTATATTCTAATAATTCAGTTAAACTACACCCTGGGTCTAAGATAACATTTAAGAGGAACTATTTGACCTCAGACTAATATTAATTGTCAAACCTGATTTTGAATAAAAGCCTCAGCCCAGCATCTGGTAAACATCTTAATAGAGTATAGGCCATAGAATCTTGATGAAGCAATCTGCACAAAATCCCCATTGGAATTCATAGCTCAAATGTAGTTTATTTGTCATCATGTGAAATTCATCATAAGGTTCAATCCTAGGTCAAATAGTCAAATTACTTTTAAACCTTGGCAATCTTTAAGCTTACCTAGAGGTGTTAGTTGAGTTCCTTCAGGGCCATCTTGAGGAGCTGAATCAAGCTGAAGCTGAATCACATCAGTGTACGTCAATTCATTCTACATGCAACAAAAATAATCATAACAAAGAAAGAAAACACATCAAGCAATGCAATCAAATTAAACTCAATCATTTCAGTATATATATATAAATGTGTTTTATATTGTTAAAAAAAGGGGGATATGAAATTGTGGTAAAAAAGTGAGACAATTATGGTTAACATACTTAATACTTGAACAAATATCTGTCTTCAACTGATGGAGAGTAAGTGCGTTCAAACTGAAATAAAGTTCATACAACCCCCTCAAGTATTGAAAATAGAAATATTTCAAAATGGTAGAACAGCTGTATCTTTAGTCTAAGCTGAATGTATGATTACTTCTCCTCTTTTTTCTTTCTTCTTATTCTTCTTCTTTCTCTCTTTCTCCTCATTCTTCTGTTTTCTTTTTCTTTTGCTTTACCTTGACTAATGTCCATGCAACTACTCGTCCATCTGACGATACAGAAAAGAAGTTGAGGTTGTTGTCCAGATCATCCTTTTGCCAGGCCACCTGAAACATTCAGGGAGAAAGAGACCAGGTAAATGAGATAAAGGGAAAATATATACACAAGTAAATTTAACAAAAAGATGTACCGGTAGTGAAATCTGGACTGTAAAACCACAAGGTACAGCGTTTGAATCTCTGTCGCAGCACTATTGTCCTTTGTACACATTTGCCACATTTGCCACATTTGCCACATTTGCCACACTCCACCAAGGTGAGGTGAACGAGTACTGGGAAGGAATTTAATTCCTATAAAGCCCCATTGCACTAGTTTGGCCAGGAATAATTAGACCTCCCTGCCTGGTCACTGACAGGTGGTTATCTCATCAAATCAGCTCTCAATTAACATAAGAAAAAGAGGATCATGGGGGACCATGCAATGGTCACTGATTAGGCATTGTTTGCTGTATAGAGGGCACAAGTAGCTATAAGTAGTGCGCAGTGGGGCTTTAAAATGCTTGAGTGCTGTAATGGCAGCCATGCTATACCTGGATAATAATAATGGAGCGCCAGGAGTGACAATTAATGTGCCACTAGACATGACTGCTATACAAGAATTAAACTAATATAATACAATGATTCCTACCTGCCAGACTGGATCTGTGTGCTTGCCAGTCTTAGCTGTGCTTTGAAAGACAGGGTTAGCATCAGTGGTTGTCACATTGAAGACTCCAACAGAACCATCATAGTAGCCAACACAGATCAGGTAAGGGTGCTCGGGATGGATGTCAATGCACATCACACCGCTGTCAGTAGGATAGACGAACTCAGGGAAAGATGGGTTCTTGAGTGTGTAGAAGAGGATCATGCCACGAGATTGCTTCATGAAATCATCTGTTGGGAGTATTAAAGAGAGAGATTAAATCACAAGTCAAAAGGTTTTACCTCACCAGTGCTGAGGATTACAAAGTCAAAATATCAGCAGGAAAACAGGAATAATTCCTCCAAAATTGGAATGGTTGGCAACTATATACATGTATAACAGTTATATACATCTGTCATAATAACTGATACAGGTCACTGTAAATAATAATTGCTGAAAACATTTTCCTACGTGTCCCTCCATTCGTTCAATCATAAGAGCTGAGAAAAAAGGAAAGTTTCAATTTGAGAACTTCACAAACAGAGAGAATGGATTGATTGCCCTTTAACTATGAAGCAGAAAACTGGCCCCAAACCTGCCATTTGCAAATAATGTTTTAATATTTTTCTGGTTTACTTAGGGTTACAATAAACATCCTGATCTCACTGCCAATAGGAGATTCGTCATGCCATACGTGATCTCAACTGTCAAAAAGTCATAACTTTCCCCATTCAAAGAATTTAACTTATCTATTTCACTTGTATCTCTCATGTTGATACGTCTATCTATAAGGCTCAAAACCAAATTGATAAGATGAGTTTAATAACCTCCCTTCAACATGAAGCAGAAAACTGACCAAAAAAAAACTTGGCATTTGAAAGCATCAGGTTGGGATATTACCATGAACATTAAGAAAAAAAGACTTCTTTTCTGTCTATCCTGTTCTTGGAAACTTCATTTGAAAAGAGGTAAATGCAAACTTACATGATCCATGGGCAACGCAAAAGAGATCCTTATACTTGGGATTCCAGCACACCGAAGTGACAGCCAGACGCTTGGACTTGTCATAGGAGAACTTCCAGAGGGGCAAGAGAGTTCCTTCCTGGTCTCGGAACTCATCAGACATGTCTTCGTAGTACTTGAAATCTAGCAAGATCACAGATATAAAAGAACATTAGTAAGACCATGATAACTTTTTTTTTAATGATCAGTAATTTTTTAGAGAAGCAAGTGTTCATTACACGTAAAATAGATGAAAGTGATAAATAGAATACTACAATTGCCCTAAACCGATTCCTGTGATATGCATGTGATCGCTAAATGGCCAATATGAGAACTAATCATAGTAGCAGAGAAACAGCATGCATTATAGTCAGTGTTAAATGCTTAGAGACTTCAGTGATAAGCGCTTTATAAGCAATGTTTTTTTAAATTTATTATTAACTCACACAATAATTTAGTGTTTTAACACATACACACAGTGCAGCCATTGCAGTCAAAATTCTGTTTGATGTGACAACATTTTTGCTTCGCGCCAACCCTGTGTGATTGGAGTATATTGAAAATAGAGTATGCGGGTGGGTGTTTATATTTGAAAAAAGGATGTGGGAGACTCTCGTCCAATCATCTTACCTTGTGAAACGTCATCAAAAGTGTTCTGATTGACCATCCTCTCAATGATCTTAGCAGCATGACTGATGCGACTCATATCATCTGATTGGGTTTCCAAGGCTGTCAGCTTCTTCTTGTTCTTATCCTCATCCTTCTTGGTAGGTGCAGCCTTCTTCTCCTTAGCTTTTTCCTACAATTAAACCAGAGAAGAGGTTGGAATGACCATCAAATTGTAAGTCTTCAATCTAATTATCACCATTGTCACGAGTAGATTTGACACATTTTAATCTGCATAATGTTATGAAATCATGACTAAACTTATACCCAGTCTTAAAATTACTTGTTCAAAAATGTCTATCAAATCGAATCAAATAACATTTTTAGGAAGAGTTACATGTATATGGAAAATTTGTTGGACAAAAGTAGGCGATATGATTGTCATTTTTCTGCATACACATGAACATCATCAAAAGTTAAAAACTGCAAATTCTGCAATGTCATATGTACATTCAAGGAAATGAATTGAAACGATGGTACAAACTGAAATGACCTTCCATAAATGTACTGGCAGATAACTTTTACATAAGCCAGCTCATGGTTACAATCTGCCCAAGAACAAATAAAGGTAATTTTTACAATATTTTCAAATCCACAGTGAATGATAAGGGATATACATATATGCTGCTCATGAAAGCAAAATCTAGTCATCAAATATACACATAGTACACCAACAAATGAGTGAAAGTACTATTTTCAGAACCATGGTTAGACAAAAGCTATTCATATAGCACATATACATCACTTTTGAAATAATTACTGTCAAACTACAACCTTTGCACACATTAATCTGAGTCTCTGAGAGAACTTTGCAGGTGTTTGAGATTCGCAAAAGACTAAAGCCTTGAAAATAGGCATCATTCGCATAATTTTCTGTTTGATCTGCATTTTAAAAAGCCATGCTACACTTATGTGTTCTGTGATTTTAGTTGGAGTTATTTGTGCCATATGTGCTTTTTTACAAACTGGACCATTGCAAGCACTATTAAAGACTGATCCTTGCCTTCTATAAAGGTTTTATCATGCTTCATAAACATAGTTGACACAAAAATATATTGACCTTTTCTGTTTGCTTGTTTTGAAATATCCATACTCCTGTTAGTCTCATGGCTGATAAGCAAATTAGTTTGTTAGTTAGTTATTATAATTATGCTTAGTCGGTTTGCATGCACTACTTTCACAAAGGAGGGACATGCATTTGACATACCGGTACATACATATGTACAACACTGTGTTTTTGCATGATACCAGTTGAAAAAAATTACTTCACATGTACAATTTTAAAACATGATAAACATTGTATGCTGTTCAAAAGTTTTGTTTACAAACAAACCAATCAAAATTTAATTCAAAATTACAAAAAAAATATCCCAATCATGGTCCCGTATTATAAAACAGTTACCGTAGCGGTAAGTGCTCATTTGAGCGGTAAGTCTCAAAAGCAGCGGTAACTTTAAGATAAACGGTAAATATCCGTTGCATAAAAACTTACCGCTGGACTTGAGCGGTAAGTCTATAAAGATCAGCGGTAAGTCTATAAAGATCAGCGGTAACATTACCGCTACCCTCTGAGCTTGCGGTAACACTACCGTAACTATGGCTGCGTTACTGGCTGTGTTCCGACGTCGGGATATCGAAAGAGCGAGGAGGAGGGAGCGAATCTTCAGAGATCGCAGCCAGCCGTTGGAGTTGGGGGATGGTGACATTTTCCGGAAGTACCGGTTTACTAGGGATGGGTGTATGCATGTTATCAATTTGATTCGGCCCCTGTTGCAGCACGACACCCAACGGAATCAGGCACTTCCCCCAGAGCTGCAAGTTTTCATAGCTTTGAATTTTTATGCAACGGGGGCAGTGCTTGATTCCACGGCCACGATTCATGGCATCACCCGCTCAACAGCATCCAGGGTAATTCACCGTGTGTCAGTGACCCTCGGCACACTGAAACATGAGGTAAGTCAATACATTTTTCTTTAATAAAGCAAAGAGAAGACGAAAATACAGTCTGTCTAAAATTTGTATTTTGAATTTTCAATCAGCAAATTAATAAGACTAAGAGGATGAAAAATAACTCTATTTTTGTCATGCATGACATGCATATACTAAAAATACTATGCATTTTATAATGAACACATGGAAGACCTATTTCAGATAAATTTATATGTTTAATTAATCTTAGACGACCAAGCAATGACATGACATAGGTCTATGCAGCGGTCTGACAATTTAGTGGTTGCCATGGGACAGAGCCCGCGACTGTGGCGGCCGGGCGGGAGGCTGGGGCAGCGCTGGCGCGGTCGGTTAGTTGGCCGAGCCTAGCTGCCCGTCTACTACTGTCACTGCAGTCTCTGTGTAGTAGTCTGTAGACCTATAGTATCATTTTATTAGTGGTCATATAATCAAACAATAGCTACGTCTAATAAAGAATTCATAATAATAAAGACATCTTTATCCAAACTTCCTTCCCCAAGTTAGCGAGAGTGCAAGTGCTAGATGCTAGCGCTAGCGCTAGTATAATTACTATTTTGCACGTAGGTCTAGTCCTAGGTATATTGATTTGTGTAGAGTCGCCCATAAATTGGCGTGATATGATGCGAGCTTGATTGTATGAATCGTGTACCTATGACCCTTCATATAGGTATATATGTCAAAACAAATTTCTTACTGAATGATGATTGCATGATGAATGACTGTCATGACGAAAACAGCACCCTTTCTAATGCACAAAACGAGGAGTCTCTCATCACATTCACATGACCAGAGGCAGAGGCAAATGTTGCATGCACAAATAATACGTACTCTAAATTGAAACAGCTGAGCCCAGAGTATGGAAAGCTATATGCCAATCGATAGATATTTTAACGTCTTCAATTTCCAATTTCATCATTTCCTCTTTTTGCACAGATATCAAATAGACTTAATGATAAATTTATATGCGCATACACAGCAGTAAAAAATACAACATAATTAAACTACCATCACAAAAAAAAAACTCACAACAAAATGGTTTTAAAAAAATATAGTAAAACAATACTGCTATATATAATAAAGAAAATGATAATAATAATGATTGATGAAAAGACCACAAAAAAAAAAAAACACAACTGTCATGATTATATTAAGAGGAAGAACGTAGATTCAAACAAGATTCTCCCCGGAGAAGCATAAACTAATAAGTAAATAATAAATAACAGGAGAAAAGAGAGAGAGAGAGAGAGAGAGAGAGAGCTATATAGAGGCCCGGGAAGAGAGAGACGAGGGGTATAGAAAGAAAAGAGATCAGTTTTTAAGAATAGATAGTTATAGGAATAGTTAGTTGCATCACCATTAATAGCATAACTATGAATATGTTCATGAATTCGAGTACAGCCAAAGAAAACTTGCACTCTCTCTCATAATTTTTTTTTTAATCACTTCACAAACTTCTTCAGATATTTCACATACTTTTCTCAACACTTGATTGAAAGAAAGAAAGTTCATGTCCAATTCTCTGAATATTAAATGTATTCGTAGGAGATAAATATTTATTCATATAATTTACAATGTGATAAAGATTACATTTCTTGATATAACATCGTTTCTGTCTATAATAATAAATACTGGTGAATTTCAGCATAGCTGTATAAATATAATGACGATGAATAAAATATACGTCAAATTACATTTCAAAAGTTTGCACATGAATTAGACTTGTATTGTATACATAACATATGAAGATCTGCAACATGGAATTATTGATTTTTGTTTTCTTTCTGCATCTCCAATTCACACTTCAGATAATCAAGTTTCCAACGACAATGGAAGAAGTCAACAGAGGCCAAGTGGATTTCTTCAACATATCAGGCTTTCCCCAGGTCATAGGAGTGGTCGACGGAACACACATTAGACTAAATGGAGCTCCCTTGGGCCCTGGTGAGCACGTCTATATGAACAGAAAAGGATATTACTCCATCAACACCCAAATAATTTGTGATACCAATTACAAGATCATAAACATTTTGGCACGCTGGCCAGGCAGCACTCACGACAGCAGGATATTTCAGGTAAATCCATAATATTTTGATTCTAAAATTTCCTATGTAACCCACTTTTGTTTTTAATGCCTCCATGAAAACATATATTGACATTGAAATTGATGTCAAATGTTTGTTACAAATGCTACAAAATAATTGTGAAGCTAAGATCTTACAATTTTTAATAATTTTTCAAAATGTGTATATGCAAGAGAATGCAATAAATATCAAAGGTCAAGGGGCACCTATTCTACCATATTATGTTCATTCTTATAATGATTCTTCCTTTATACAGAACAGCAGAGTTGGACAGACTTTTGAAGATCTACAACAGCATGGTCTACTTCTTGGAGATTCGGGTTACGCTTTAAGACCATACCTGATGACACCAGTGCTAAATCCAAGGACTCCTGCAGAACAGGCTTACAATAGGTATGTACTACAAGAAACATTTCAATGCATATTTGTATCTACAATTAAAAAAGAAAGTGAATGAATGTATGCCATTTTAGACATCAAAGCAATACCATGATGTCAATTTGCCAATCACATCTCTTAATTAGCAGGATGAGTGTTCATGAATACCATTTGGCCCAGAAGAGCTACAGGTAAAAAAGAAAATTACTCATATATGTGACTTACTTCCTTTTGACAATGTATAGGTTAGATGTATAACACTGTAGTTAGATGTACATGTATTTTCATAGTCTAATAGACTTCCCAATAATTCTTTGTTTTTAATTTGTTATACTTCAATTCCTTTACTCTGCAGAGCACATGCCACAACGAGAGTGAGAATCGAACAAGTCAACGGCCAACTAAAGCACAAATTCAGGTGCTTACTGAATGGTATGCAAATGGCACCCAGAAGAGCGTGCAAGATCATCACTGCATGCGCCGTATTGCACAATGTGGCTAAAGATTTGAAGCAGCCTGATGAAGTAGACTTTGGTATTGAACAACATGAACACGAACCAGACAGGGACGACCACATTGTAGACAACGGCTTAGCCATCAGAAACACTATTATTGCCAATTATTTCCACTAGATTTTTATGATGAAGACTTCTATATACTGTAACCAAGAATCTTTTTCAACATTCACTGTCACTGACCTTATTGTTTATCTATATTTTATATCATTCAAACATACTTATTTTTAGGGTGGACTTCCCCTGCTTTAAAACACCATTTTGGGTCATCGATAAGTTGACACATAAATTCTTTTTATTACTGCACTATTTAGTTGTGACAATATTGTTGAAGTATACTTGTACTATATAACTCAAGTGGTAGTAATCTTCTGTTTGCATTGAGAATCTTAATCAATTCAGTACTGCATTCAACCGGGGGGGGGGGGGGGGGGGGGGGATTAATTGCTAAGGTAGCACCAAGCCAAAATTCAAATTTCACGGAATCGCCAGGCTAGGGCATGTTCTGCTGACCTGCCAATAGTCATATTGTTTTATAAATTTGTATATGAATGTGACATCATATTCAAGGCCCTCTTTCAATGAAGTGTGTAAGATATCCTTAAGATTGGCCTCATAACATTTTTATCTTTAGATTCAGTTAATTTACAGTATATATGGGAAGAGTATATCTCCTGAATTTGTAATTTGTTCTATTCAGAAGCAGGCCACATATTTAATCCAAACCTGACTGGGGAAGGGGGGGGGGGGGGAGTCCCGTGGAACGCTCATGCATAGTCAATTCATTTTTAATAACGACATATTCATATTGATTTCTAGGAAACCTAATTTCCTTAGTTCCAAAATGCACAATGATATAATCTTTTTGAATATTGAAAGGTAAAGTTATCATGAATAAGAACGAAATTAACATATCATTCTTACATAATAATTTATTGGCTCACTACAGCCATAATAGGTATGAAGTCAAATTTATGAGAAAATTGCAAAACAAAAAATTTGCAAAACAAACAAAAGTGACAATTTTAAACCTCTTTTTGATTACAAACAAATAATTCGAACAAGTGAACCGCACGCTTCATAAGTAATAACTTTTCCTCTTCTATCTCCAGAAGCCTTTCTTCATAACAGGTGATTGGCTTCTTGGTGTCTATGGCCGTGCTATCCCCTACTAGAACAGGCTGGCCTCTTGGTGGTCCGGCACTGCTGGCTGCACTAGTACTGGTCTGTGGGTCCCGGGCCGGCACAGATATGCCACCCACCATGCTGCTTACCATCATGGCCACAGCCATGGCATTTTCTGATGTCTGTATGCATATAACAATAAAGATTGCCTTGATTGAGTTTTAAAGAACTATAGAACCATACTGTCTAAATGTTGTTATTATTATTTTATTATTAAAATTCTGTGATAAAAAGAGAAACAATGTCGGTAAGGGTTTTATCTAATCATCAATATGTTTGAAAAAATGGTTAACACCCCCCTAAAAAAAATATTTTAAAAAATGTGAGAAAAAAAAATGGTTGTACCGTACACCATCAGTGAGGATTTTGTTTTTGTTAAACAAAAAAATTACCATATACCCGTATGGAAAATGCCTCACATAAAAATACATGCCACATTTGAATCTCATGTTCAATGGGATAAATTTTTCAAATAGAGTTAGGGGGGTAGGGTGGTCAACATAACATTGACACTTTGAAGGTCGTCAACTAAATTAAGTAATATAGTGGTAAGCATTTCAATACCATCTACAATTCAAGATAAACCCTGATTAGGCCTGGGTATTTTTGAAGTTCTCAGAGTTAGGGAAAGGGCTCCCCCGCCCCCTTCCCTGAGATTTCGGCCAGCGATGCAGACATATCGTGCAAAGTGTTGAGGAGGGGGGTGGGGGTACTTGTTTCCCCCCCCCCCCCCCCCTTGGCTCAGTTAGGGTTAAACCAAAGATGTACATATTCACAAGTCATATATATTTTTATGTTTGTTTGTACTCTCATACCCAGAGAGGGGGTCAATCAAATTCTACAAATTTTACCTGTGACATTTGGCTCGAAGGGAGAGCTAGGTATCCAGCCTCCTCTTCTGGCCCCAGAATGCCCTCCACACTCTCCTCCACCATTGCCTCCAGTACTGCCTCGTGCTTCTCATTATATTCCACTGGTGGTCCACCTCCTAATGATCCAAAGTCAAAGAAATAAATGTTAACTTCTTACCATAAATTTTACGAAATGTTAATATCGATCGTACAGTTAAAGAGAGATCTTGGATTAGGTCGTGATGGTTAATAATCTACACCAAATAAGTGTAAGTTGTGATTTGCGGTTTAGTGGTGGTTATTTTACCCGACTGCTAAAAAAGCACGAGTGCTTATTAGTAACCGACGACTTTAGGTCCTATCTAAGGGACCTTGGTAATGAGGAATAATGCCTTAATACCAAAGGACACTAGTGCACCGACGACATGGTTTCGAACCTAGGTCGTCGGATTATGAGACCACCAATCTACCAACCAAGTCTCCTGATAATAATAAACCCCTTTACTAATTCAATACTCTTCTTGACAGGCTACTCTAGAGTATTCTTTATTGAAATAGGATATACCATGCAAAACATGCTATCTTTTTAAAGATAAATAAAAATTAAAAAAGCCTAGCATTCAAACACTAGGCTGTTGTCCTAAGTCATGAATGTTGATATGATATATTAAAGATAATTTTTTAATGCATGTACAATTTATGATGACCTATGGTGGTACAGTAGATACTAATAGCAGATGGAATCCCACCATTTTAAAAACTTGTTTTTTTATTGCACAAATGCTTTCTTACTTTTTAACTTTTCCAAAGCACAGGTAACTATTGGTGATAAATTACATGTGGAAGGAGTATACAAAAAAGGTACCTTGTACAGTTTTATCTGTTACACAATAAAGACAGCTTAATTTACCTGTCTTGTTCTTTGCGTCCCGGTACTTTCGGGCCTTAGCCGCCATTTCATTCCAGGTAAGACGCAAGTCCTTTACTGTTCTACCTGGTTGGAGTCCCTGGGCCTCTAGGGATACGAGCCCTAGGGCCCATGCATCCTCTTTTCGTTTTTTGATCTACAAATTCAAGAACGAAAAGTACAATGTAAATTGGAACCTACTCAAGTTCTCTTTAATTATATGCAATAGATGGTTAACATATTAATTCACCCTTACTTATTTTGAAAGAATACTCTCATATGGTAGCATCCAACTGTCTCCAAAGACAGTGGACTGCATTCTGTCTTGGGCATCAGAAAAAATGAAAACCAAAACATCATTTTCGGTATACTTATTAGAAGAAAAGTTGAAAGAAGGAAAAATAAAAATAAGTTAGATAAAAAGACTCTTTATTCAAATTCGAAATCATAGTTATGTTCTGGAAATTTTAATACATAGATCTGCATTGGATTTTACAAACCTTTTCCACACAGTTCCCCGCTTTGCCGAACAAAGCTTGGCGGTTCTTTTTCACGTAGTCTGCCAGGCAGCGGACATCCCGACCTGTCAAATTCGGCCTGCGTTTCACCATTTCCTAGAATGAAGAAACAAAATTAAAAAACTAATGAGAAGCCAGAAAGATTGTTTAAAATGAGTTCTGTTAAATCAAATTTGACGGTATCAAACCCTTTTAAACACAAGATTGTTGTTCGGTTTTGTTACTCGATCAGTATAGGGCCTCGATCTATAGATTCATGCAGTAGACTATCTCAATATTTCTACTAGTATAGGTCCAAAACCTGCCAATTAAATTACCACTATTTAACTTTTAAATATAGACTAGACTCTACATGTAGTTAATGCATTTTACAATATATTATTATTATTATTATTATTATTATTATTATTATTATCAATAACTATTATTATTATTTATCAATTGAAAAATAAATTAAAGTTTAAGGAGTTTGCTTAGACTAGACCACTCAATACTCACAATAGACAATTACTAGGGCCTATAATACTAATAATAGTAAAAGATTTACTTTTTCAACCAATGTAGATCTATGTATGAGTAAAAGCTAGTCTATGCTATAGTTTACTACTTAATCATGTTAATATTATTGGGTTCTGTAAATCTACACTCGGTTTATAGACCTTACTCAGTCCGACTCTTGAGTCTGAGAAATAACCCCCCCCCCCCCCCCCGCAAACTTACATCAGGGGGGGGGGGGGCTTTTCCAACACCCTGCTTACATGTAGTCGATCTAGATTATAGTTTATACAGCTCAGTATATTGTTATATTTCATGCCCCTGTTAATCGCCGGCCCAATCGCCGGCCCAATTATCCCTCAGCTCTCACACTTGGCATGCACACACTGTGACACTAGACATATAGTCTAGGGTCTATACTATTTTAAATAGTATCTGATTATAGATCTACTACTAGTCTGAAGCTGAATAAAGTTGAAATTCTAATTGAGAGTCTATATAATTATAGACAAGAAATTTGAATGAAGTTGAAATTCTAATCGACTTGTCTTATCGAGAGTCTTAATTTTATCTAGAATCTAGATATTCTAATTGAGAGTCTGGTATTTTACATTTTTAGAATGATATTATGAGGTAATTGCAAGTTGTTTACCCTTAAACAACTTTAAATCATCGGGTATTGTAGATAAACGAATGTTCAAAACACCACCCAATCTAGTCATGCTAGTAGTCGAATGTCAGATTATGCCACCCAGCTCCTCCGGGGAGCTCAGTACTCTAGTCCCCGCTGGCTTCTGAAAGCACGTACGGCTGCGGAGACTGACGTAAACATTACAATTAAACCCCAGTACGATGGCAAATACTGTCTGAGTAAAGGCTGCAAATTTATTGCCAGTACTAATACATTTATCAATATGTATAGCAGAATGAATATACTCTTTCGATTAACACATAAAAATGATTAAAGTCAAGAAATACGTACGATTGACGATAATTGTAGATTAGCAGCAGCCGTCTTCGGTGTTTATCTCAGTGGCTATATCTAGCAGACGACGGGTATTGCGCATGCGCTTAAATTTCTGGCTCGTCCAAGAAGACCATTCGCGGGTTTTTCTTATATTAGTTAATATCGGTTTTATGCAACGGATATTAAGCTCCGATGGTAGTTACCATTGATGGTAACTACCATAATAGTATCTCGGGGAGTTACTATTATGGTAAGTCAAAAGTTTTATAATACGGGGCCCATGTCTTCATTTCTCCAAAATCTTTTGTTTTGTTGTTAAAAAGAGGGTTGAAAACACAAGGCATTTCATGCACTACACTATGTTATTGTTAATGAATTCTGCTCAACTTGCTAAAGATTAAAAACAAGAAACACAAATTAATTTCACAATCAACATGATAGATGTACACATGTTTCTTCCATGAACGATTAAAACCAACAGAGAATTATTGTTACCAAATATGATGCATTATTACAGTTAGAATTATATAATTCCATCAATTTCTATCGCATTGCTTAAGATATGAACAAGCAAATAGTTGAAGATGACGACACACAATGCTGCAAAACATCTCATCAGTAAATCTGAAAAGTAAAATGATGTAATTCATGCGGTTTGCAGGCTGTACTGACAAGCGATGCACACATCACAACAGATTCTCCAGCTTAAAGTAAGACCAAATGAAAGTGGTCAAAGCGCCAAGCAGTCCATGCAATTGAACAAAAACGTTCTGGGTTATGCCGTTAGTCTAGTTAATGCCAATGCAACTTGAATATACATGTATGACAGCAAACATACTACAAACCTCAGCCTAGCGAGAGCAAAAGGATGCATAGCGAAGCGGTTGCATCATCAACAACGCCAGCAGTACGCAGGAGTTATCGGCAGCAATGGTAGAATGGATGAGGGGTGGAATACATGGTAATATATGGATGTATGCAAGATTATAATATCATGAGCATAATGAATATATATCATATACATGTAAATGATGATGTAGAATACATGAAATTAAATATGTACATGTATAGTGAATGCCATCTAATTACCAGTGTTGTATTCAAGTTCGGCCTTGAGGCTATCTTTTAGTGGCTTATTTGGCCTAGCTCAGCCTTGGACCATATTTCACAGGTAAATTTACAAAGTCTATAAGAAGGTTCTAGACTTCAGCGGCTTCATATGACTGAAAACTGCTTGCTTCGACTACATCACTTATAATTACACACCCAAAGTGTTAAAAATTGGCTTATAACTTCCATTAAAGCTTTCAGATCAATTAATATTCCACCATCTTATCACAGGAAATTAGAATGAAGTGTCACAACTTATACGAAATTGCAAACCAGGCATTCACATCAGTCTCCATCCCCTATTATTGGTACATTTAAAGAATAATACCGAAATATACTAAGTTTTAACAGATTTGAGTGATGTAAAAGTACAAGATTTCCTTTTTACAATAACATTTCACAGTTGTATGGGAAATATAATTTGAATTTGAATTTGAATGTGCCAGAAAGTTTGAGTTAACAACTAACAAATCTATCTTTGAAGCATATGGGCACTATAATATGAATATGCACAAATTTTCTTTTTATCTTCACCTTAAATTAATTGTCTAGAAATGTAAACACTAATTGTAGTAACAAGATATTCATAGAGAGTATAGGGGTATATATACAGTATAACCTTTAAATATAGAAAGTAGAATATACAAAAGTGCAAAGAAGTTATTTCAAGCAAAATCTTTGATTAAATTGATGATACAAAATAGCTCTGATATACGGGCAGCTTATATTCCATGTATATATTTTGAAAATTCTTTGGGAAAAAAGAACAAGAAGAAGGAAAATAACAAAATAGAAGAAGGAGAAGAAAAAGAAGAAGAAGAAAAAGAAGAAAGAGAAAAAAAAGAAGAAAAAGAGAAAGTGAGAAAAGGAAGAAAGAGGAGAAAAAGAAGAAAAAATAAGAAAAAATAAGAAGAAAGGGTGATAGAAGAAAGAAAGAAAGAAGTATTCTGGAATAAAATATTTCCTGTCTCTATTTCTTTTCCTGGAGTAAATGTCCAGAAATGTGTTGTTCATACAGCTCAACATAAAAACAAAAACTATTCTCCTGGCAAAAATGAATATGATAACTATAATGAGACAAAATGACAAGTAAGAATGCTATGTTCATGGACACCAGTTACGAGTCTTACCTGCTTCTCAAGATCATCCATGTATGCATCATATATCTCCCATTGATTGGCAGTAGATGAGAAGTTAGCACGGGGTGGTGGCTCAGTCTGTGTTCCTCTTTCCTAAAAAACAATATGCAATAGGTCTAAAGTAAGCTTCTCAAGCTATCAGTGTTAAGAATTGAAAGGATGTACTAGCTCCCCCAAATAAAATGAATTTGATAAATTCCTTCCACACAGTGATTTGGTCTATACCAATGCAGTACATTGCAGGGTGACTTGGAAACTTGCTAAAAGGTAATCAAGATCAGGTTTTGGTGCTCATTTTTGGTTGACTGCACAAAATTCATGACATAATAGATATTATATACCTCACTTAAGAAATCCAGCCATCTGATTGGTCGAATTGCATTCATAAACTTCAACTGTTCCTGTAAAATTCTCGGTAACCATGCATAAAACATTTCAATATTTTTAATAACCATGGTTATTAAAAAAAGTTGGTCAGCCTCCATGGTTACCCCATAGGGTTACATGTTAAAAAATGGTTTGAGCGATGGAGGATGCCGTATGTGTGCGAAGGATTGGTCGGTAATTTCAATACAATTGAATCTCGATCGATCTTACCGACAATTTTATCTTGCATTGTTGACATGAAGACGAAAATAAACTTCCAAAAACAAAAAAACAACATCTGCCGATAGATCTTGATCTAAGTTCGTGCCAATATGCATTGCAAAAGTAAAAGAAGAGTCCGTATATGGAGCTTTTGCGAAGCATTCATCACACGCGAAGCCGGTTTCAATCTATTTTAATGTATATATTGGAGAAAACTGCCAAGCATGTTAACGGCGGGCCATAGCCGAGTGGTCTAAGCGTTGGTTTTCGGTATACCTCTTGTTGTACGCAAGGGTTCGAATCCCGTCTTCGACGAAAATGATAAATATTTTTCATTTTTCATTTTTTAGTCTATTTTTTTTTCGGCATATAAAAGTATTAATGACTGCTTCAATATTCGAGAAATAGTTGTTTTCATACGCTCTCGGGAAGGTTACAATTGGGCTATTCCCCTCGGCAAGCCTCGGGGAATAGCACAATTCTAACCTTCCCTTGAGCGTAATAAAACAACTATTTCTCTCAAAGCAGTCATTAATACTATACTATTTTGTGCTGGGGAAACAAAGGAAGAAGGTTTTAAAGGTAACGGCTCACTGGGGAAACAAAGGAACGGATTTCTGTTTTCCCCAACAACATTTTAAGTGGTCACTTGCCTCAGGCAGCCTTGGTACTGACATATGCAGTCAGTCCTTACATCTTCAAAGTCTTTTTAAAAAAAGTGTTAAGAAATGGCTTTTAAATAAAGCAAAACGCTTCTAATTAGATTCATATGTTTCTATATATCATTATTTCAAACTTGATAAGAAATATTGCAGCTTGCAGCCACCTACCCTGTATGGGTTGTTGTATGTCTGTGAGGCTCTCTCACTGAAGTTAAACTGATTGGTGAGTTTCTGATCAGACTTGGCCTCACCAGGAGCAGGGGTAGCCTCCTCATCCCTCTTCTCACCTTCCTTGGGCTGTATGGGGGAGGGGATGGAGAGGGAGACAGACAGAAACAGAGACAGAGAGACAGGTAAAGACAGAGACAAAATGAGACAGAGAAAGGGAGAGAGTATGTGTGCAAGAGAAAATAAAAACAGATAAATATTGAGAAAAGCAACATGAAGAGAACAAAAATAATAATTATTAGAGCTGGCTCAAACTCAACATGATTAAATATTACACAATATATAGTCAATCAATCATTCAAAAGCCTAACATAACAAACAATTGCTATAATATATGGCCACTGCCATTTTTATGTTGTAAAGATATTTCAAATACCGGTAGAGTATTTCAAACATAATAAAATAATGAAAATCTTTTATTCTCTCTACTTGATGAGTGGCAAGTAAAGAGATTAACAAGATTATAATTTTATTAATTAGTTCAACCAAAGTGTAAGCCAGTTGTATTTAGATGTAGATGGAATTATTTTGTACTATTTGGTTTTTTACTGGCATTGTTGTGCTTTTAACATATTGTATGAGAAACAATTGTTATTTCACTGAAACGGGACTCTGGCTATTCACTATCATAGATCTTTTTCTCCAGTTATGTTGAGGCAGCAGACAGTCGGAAATGTGTGAAGAATCTCTTGGCTTGATTGAGGAAGTTCACAGGAGTGGATGAAAGTTTGCAACCTAAATTTTAAGGTTTGTAGAAGCCTAATTACAGGCTACATGTGATCACCCCAACCAATGAAAGTTTTCTATACCAAACTTTTATGTTCAAATTCAAAGGACTTTGGTAATTTATATTTATCTTTTGAAAGAATGAGGGGAATGTCAACTTGATAATATATGCTGGATAAAAAAAAAAAAAGGAGAAGCAAACATAAATTGAAAAGATTGAGAGACATAAAAGTTGATCATGACAAAGGCAACAAAATATCACTCATGACAATTACAGGTAAATTCATTAATGACACCAACAATCATGCAAAATCAGAAAAGTGGTCAACAGAAAAAAAGTAAAAAACCATGCAAACAACAGATAACCAAAACCTGACCAAAGTGAGCCTTTTCAAGGTGTCACTACATGTACCTTGAAGTAATATCATTATGTACATGTAGGGAACAAAATCTTCTCAGCATGTTTCTTTATGAATAAGTTAACAGTTAATGTTCTGTATTACTTTTTATTCTTTGTAGACAGAAACTATCTAGGATATGTACACATATTTAGATTCATCAAAACATCAATTGCCATTTAGGATTTAGAGGAAAATATGGTGTTCAACTGCTCGATCAAGAAATTATCACTCTGTTGATGTTTTTATCAATGACCTGTGCATAGCCTCCTTAATCCATGCATTCAAGCATCAACTCTAAAGCAGCTAGAATAATGACTATGTCAGAGAGCAATATTTGGATGTGTGTTTCTGCATAGAGGCCGCAGCCGTGGGCATCCAACTGGCCATTCGGCCTGCATCTATAGTTTATACTAGTATCATATAATGGAATGATTGACATATGAATTGCATCTACTAGCCTCCTGGCCTGGCATACCCAATTTTAATCTTACATGCTTCATAGACATTCACTAACTTAATTGTCTTGGTAACCAAAATAGTCTACAATTTGGATAGAGTTCAATATCAAAGTATCCTGTAATAATGTAGTTTTAGGATCCCACATAAAAACACACCATGCACAGTTTCTACAAAGTAAAACTCACCTTTAAATTATGATATATTTACTCCTCCCCCCCCCCCCCCCCCCCTCCCCCATCACAAAAAAAAAAAATACATGTCCATAAAACAAAGTATTGTCAGAACTAGGGGGAAAAAAAATCAAAATCAAACCCAGACAATTCATCCATAAAATACAGCAAGAACTGGACGTGAAGAGCAAACAAGACTTACACATTAAAGTCTCGAACTTAAATTCCATGCATTTGTACTTTAAGCATGCAACACAGCAAAATTGTAAACAAAAACATTCAAGAGATTCACCAAGAAACAATTCTGGAAAATAAAACTAAATTCCAAAGAATCTAAAGAACATTGAAATATCTGACACTACATCAACATACCTCAGAACCTTCCTCTTGATTCTCACCCTTCAATAATGATAAAAGAGTTACTTTTAATTTGAGATCTCAACTTTGTTTGCTAATTACGGGAATATTTGAATATCATTCCATCCATATAATATCTGATTGCTTGCCCACAATCTTATTGAACCCTTCTTAGGAAACTAAAGCAGTAAACAAATTAGCAAAATATTCGCAAACCATTTGTTGATAGCTCAAAGACATTAAGGCATGAATATATGCTGGATTTTTTGTCTGTAAATATGCTTCAACAACACAAAATCATAAATCCATTGACTTAGCTACAGATAACGCATGTATGAATCATTGTATACCTCATACATAGATTGTCATTCACTGATTGGTCAAAACAATATCACATGACAAGGAGCATTTCGATCTATCAAGTATCATTGCGTCAGAGGGTTTGATAGCTACTATCAAACCCTGGGATAGGACTCCTATAACCCCTCAGCGACTTTTGCACACACACAGCGTACAAGATTTCAAATGCGCGCTCAAGCCATGCAATTTACTCTGGGTCCCTGTAAACATATACAATATAGATTGGATTTCCGTATGTTGGATTTCTTTTAACGTTGGATATTTGAAACTGTTTTAAGCTTCAAAATACTGTAAATATATTACTGTGATGAGCATTATAGACTCTTGATATTAGATTTATTTTCTAGACCTATTCATGAATCAATGAAAAGAATGAGGTATATTAAACAAATATGGACTGCTCTGTAATCGGATGATGGAGGAAATTATCACTCCCTCGGTTGTGTTAATACCGGCCCTTCTATCACCCCTCGGCTTCACCTTGGGGGTGATAGAAGGGCCGGTATGAACACCACCATGGGAGTGATAATTCCCACTATCATCCTCATGAGCAGTCAATATAGCTATCACTCTATACATCATTTTTCAGATTAATATGATTTTTTATATTTTTATTTATTTACTTACTTATCTAAAAAAAAAAAAATCTTTCTTGGAATGTAGAGAATTAGATCTCTATTATGTAAACTAAGTTGTCCCCATTTCACATTCTTTTTAGAGAGCTGCTTTGTAGTTATGCATTTTCCCAGCGCAAAATATAACCATGCAAAATATCACTTCTGGGTAATAGGTAGGGGGGGGCACTGAGGGGGTGGTAAGACATATTTACCTCTTCTGTTTTCTGCTCTCCATCTTCCTCTTTCTTCTCCTCTCCAACTTCACTGATAGCCTGGTCACTGATTGCTGGAAAGGCAAAAAGAAAGCAGTTTGAAGTCAGTAACAAATTTATACGTTATATTCATAGCATATCATTAGCGAAGGTTTCCTGACAAGTTAAAAAGTTCCTGGTTGCATCTACATAGATCCATAATAAACTTTGTCTGGGATTATCTATCATAAACCAGATACAAATGTATAAAATGTATTTCTTACTATAAAGAAATGTCAAAATGTATTTCTTGATTTTAAACATTTACAGTTGCAAACTTGCAGCTTAAAAATATTGCAAAATCACAAGTAGCATTGTGATTTGATGCAACAGTACCAAATAAATGCAACAGGTCAATAAACTTCACAAAGATCAAATTAAAAGACTCTTTATCACTATTTACCTGTTATAGCCAGCATTACAATGGAAACCAAGCACTGTATTCATGCAACGTGCCAATGATCATCGTTCATGCAACACTATTAGCAAAATGTTATCAAGCAAATGCTTCATACATCATGAAAAAGCATTTCAATTCAATTAAAAAAAGAACTGTAGAGGTATGTTGCAATAAAATAGCACTTTGTTTCGCAATTGAACAAAAAGAGGATAATTATGGCAGAGCCCTTTGAAATATAAGCTAGTGAAAATGATATTTGGACAAGGAGAGTGATATGTTTATTGTGAATTTACTTGGGTATGGGTACAATACAACTACATGTACACCGATGAAAGAACATCTTTCATTAATTCTATTTAGACAGGTTTATTAATCAACAAACAAAATTGTGTCGCATGATTAACAGAAAAAGTGAGAAAAAAATGAACATGTATTATGAAGAAGTGTTATGCATAATACTTGATATTGACATTATCATCTGACAGATATATAATGAAGTGTAATGCATACTCCAAACGTGGTCACTGTATGTCACTGTATTTATTAAAAGGGAAGGGTAACCACCTTTTTCAGACACTAACCATAGAATGATGACAAATCATAAAATTGGTAAAAGAGTACAGCACATTCTTCTTATTATAATGAAAATGCATTTATAACAGGGTTATAGGATACTTGCTTATAAATAGAAATAATATTGAATAAATTCTTGAAAAAATCTAGTAAAATTACAAAATTGATGCGTTGGACATGCAACAACCAGCAAGTTGATCTGCTGCTGGCAGTACCACTAGTTTTCAATTTTATAAATTTGGTGAAGTTGAAAGACTGGAATCCATATTTTTGCAATTAGTTTGGGGTGGGAAAAATATTCTGCATACCCCATTCCAATCTCTCAGAATTTAAACTTTAACTTAATCACTTGAATGATATTTGAGATGGATATTTTTTCTTTTTAATAATTTTATTTAATAAAGTGACTATGAAAGCATCTTTATCCCCAATGTGAACGATGTGAAATACATACATGTACATAGAGATAAATACGTAAAGCACTCAATACATGGAGCATGAGGAGTGTGTACAACTATTCCAGTATACATGTAGGTACATGTAGAATATATGTTCATTACCTGTTCTTTGGTCATAAATAAATATATGTGTAAATAATTCAGTTGCAAAAGGCCTTTAGGGTGAAAGTAATTGTGACCGAACATGAATCAAGATGTTTGCATTATATAGGCACAGATTATATAACATACAGGAAATGATGATGGTAAACTTGCATTACACAAATGAACAAACAAACTACTATTAATTTTCATTATTCATCACTTCAACTTTGTCAGGTACCCCTTGCAAAATGTCATACAACCATATATATACTCTTATAAATGGCATTTTGGGGCAAGAGGGCCGTTTTCCAGGGGCTGCCTCACAAGTTTACATAGCGACATAATAAATATGCATAAGTTACAGCAAGAGAAAGAGTAAACAAAAATGCTGTAATGAATATAAGCAGCCATGGGTTCCAGCGTATACATTGTACATGTATAATAGATTGTTAATGTATGCAAGACCTACCGGCGCCACTCCACCGTTTGAAGAAAAGACCAACTTTGTGTTAGAAGAGGATAAATGGAAGAGCAAAAGAGTTAGAAAAACACTCCTAAAGATGAAAAGATTATTCGACACCTACTTCACAATCACCTAAAAGAGCCTTCTAATCATATGAAATGTTGAATTACAACTACAATACACATAGTCTAGACTGAATAGGAAAAAAAATATCCTAAGCTTTCTCGCGACCATTTTAATTGAAGGTCATTCAACAGACATGTATATACTTCAGGTGTTAGTAACTGTAAGACATGGTCACCGTTTTCCTTGAATCAGCAAATTTGTCTGTCGATTGAAGTAAATGTTAGTACATAAAACCTCGGACCACATGTATATCCCATTGGTCACTGTTAAAAATTAGTGCAGTAAACTTCAGTTAATCATCCTTTAATTAGCAGACAATTTTCTCTTCATGAAAGTTCACTTTAAAAGTGTCTCTGTAGGCTATTAATGATAATGGAATCCTGAATTGGTAATGTTCTGTTGCAGGAAAATTACTCATAAGAGACTACCACCTACATACTCTATTGCCAGTAGTTTGGCAAATTGCAGAATTATAATACTTGCAGAAAATTAATAATCTAAAATAGTATAGGACCGCATATACACTTTTCCCTCTGGTATTGATATAAGACAAACCTAGACTATGCAGTGCAGCAATATTTTGCTATGTGTAAATATCCAGGGACTATAATTTCTACTTTCTAAACATACAAGTTGACATGCACAGTCCTTAATTTATACAGAATTTATGACATATACATGTACTCCTGCTACAATTACTCTGCAGCCAATTTCCAAATTCATATTTTCAACCATGGACCCAAAACTCTACCTAACCCTGTATCTTATACAGAGCCCATAGCAATTTTCACTAGGGCAAATGTCGGGTCGCAAGAATATTGACTGCCAGCTAATCATGAATTGAAAATGAATAGATGAATGTTACACATTTCAAACTCCAGGAATATCTGTCTATTAGTTCTGTATAAAGGTCCATTCGCATGTGAAGCAGTATGTAAACAACAGCCGTTTCTTTTTACTTGTACAGGAATAGATGAATTGAAAGTTGGGGATATTGTCTGCATAGAACAAAGCCCATAAGGTGTAGTCCCTTCTATGTGGGTAATGATATACAGAAATGTGAGGGGGGGGGGGCTACAATTGTGTCACTTTATTTTGCTGCTGCAGGTTTTTAAAAAAAATATTTTGTTAATTAATTAAGGCAGTTACCCGCATCACGTGGGAACGAGCCTACTGGCTAGTAATTTAGCTACCACTCTTCAATTTTTGTGCTAAAAATGCCTGGTATTTTACCTTCAGAAGCACCATGTCTCTGTTGTTGTCTCCTAGCTTCATCCGAGTCTTTGTGGATCATGTTACCATCCAGTGAGAAATGGATGGCTAGTTGGTCAACATGGGATGTCTGCTTGAAAGAATTATCCTGCAATACAAACAAGCAAAATATTAAGTGCACCAATCACTAAAACATGTTTCATCCCTTTCACCAAAAGTCTTTTGGTGATCCATGTTGCTATACTGTAGTCCGACTCTGCATGAGTTCCAAATATTTCTACAAATTTCTACAAAGAGATATTGCAAGTGAAATGCATCAAACCAAAACGTCTTGTTGAGTAGACTATTTAACGCACGAGTACGCACTCGCATAGTATTGTAAGCTCAAAGAACCAAAGTCCAACTTGGGTTTCGTGCAAGCCTTACCACATGCATAAACAACTGCAATGATGTCTTAGAGACACAAGTGTATGATTTTGTTATTATTATTCTTTTAAATATTTTTGTTAAACTATTGTTCCTCATTTTGTTTAACAGGGCCTCATGGAAGAGCACCATTATTGGTGATAATGAGCCACCCTGTCTAAATATCAGAAATAAATCAATAGGAGGCGCGATAGCTCAGTCGGTAGAGCATGTCTCGTAATCCGGTGACCTGGGTTAGAAACCAAGATGATATAGTGTCCTTTGGTAAGGTATTAATCCTCACTACCAGGTCCCTCGGAGAGGACCTAAAGCTGTCGGCCATCTGGTTGTTTACTTACAAGCATTTACGCTTTCTTAGAAGTCAGGTAAAATAACCAACTATCAACAAGTCATGAATAAATCAATCAATCAATCATCAATAGTTATTTTGGGTTCATGCATGCAGTACGTGCCATTTTACCAAATTGAGAAATCTGACTAACCTTGAAGCTGTATCTGACAATATTCTGTGGAGCATGAGGATTGTTGGCTGTAAGAATTCTGGTGAATTCTTCCTTCAGCTCCTGTTTTAGATCAAATTAAGAAGAGAAAACATGAGGCATGAACAAATCAATGGTCATAATATCGTCTATACTTTCAGTAAAATCACCAACTTTGATAAACTTGTGCCTTGAGGTATAATTTTTGACGTATCAATTATTTTGAATGTTACACAAATAACATTAGTGCTGTGGCACACTGTTTGATGCGCGCCATATGAATAAAATCTCAGCATAACAATAAATGTGTCTGTCCCTACATGTAACATGAATCTAAAAATACATCTAAAAATCCATTCAGAGAATACATCTGTATCTCTTGCTACTTAAGAATTTGTACATTTCAACCCAGAAGTTACAGTCATCAGCCTTTAAATGCAAACAAGGTTAAATTTTACTTAGACTTTACTTGGGTTGATGTACTTGGATGAGGAGTTCCTCACCAATAGAAACAGATGATGCTACATGTATGTTTCAAAAACTATTTTTGCATTTTCCAGCACTTTAACCACTTGTTGAAATGTTTGTACATCTCTCATGCAGTATGTCTTGCAGTTGGAAAATGATGGTTGAGACAGGGTTTTGGATCAACCTAAACAATCCATAGTTAAACTTACCACTTCATTTAACTCCAGCTGATCATCAGGCTTTATCAAAGACTTTGTCTGTGGAGAGATGGAGACAAAAATAAGAAGAAATAAAAATTAAAGGAATACAATGTATATATCATGACAAACACTATGAGACTGTATATATCCACATTATGAAGGAGAGATTAATAAATACTACATCAAGACTGTATACTGTTTTCAACATCAATTTTAACACCAGCCCCCCCCCCCCCCCTCCCCAACAAAACAAATCAAAAATATATATAACTTTACAGGTATATATTTTAAAAAATAACTAAAAGAGAAGGGGGGGGGAGGGTACAAGCAACAATCTCACTTTCAATTGTCGTAATTATACAACAGAAGAAAATAAACCATTATAGCATCACTACAGAAAAGCTGAGACCCTATTCATAATAATTTTAATCATACAAAAAAACACATCAAATCATAATTGTGGATTGTGGATAAGTTTTGACAAAAACGCTATAAAAAAAAACAAACATGAAAGTACAAAAAAGGGGCGTTTTCTTCCACTAAAAAAAAAGAAGAAACTTACCTGCATCCACTCCTCACCTCCATGTTCTCCAGCCTCTGTGGCATCATCATCATCCTGAGAGGGCATAAAGATGATACATGTGAAATAATCATTATAATAATACCACTCATCAACAGTCAATCTGTTATGGATGTTAACACACAAGTTCTGTGATCATATAAATCATCTAAAAAGTAAAAGAAATCATCAAAAATCAATTGATGAAATATTCAACATGCTGAAATGAACATACAACATACATAAACACTTAAATTTTGAAAAGAAAGTCAACTTGTGACAGCTTTGCATTAAGAGAGAGATTACAATGAAAGGTAGAAAGGTGCTTGCAACAGTACCATGCACACAGTTAGCCTTGCTAAAATTGATGTGTCACTTTTAAAATTAATCTCAAATAGTAATTATTCTATATTACAAAAAACAACACAACCCAAACTATGAATCGTTTTTTTTTTAATATCATACTAGCCAATGAGTATTAGACACAGAATTATATCCTTCATTCCTTTGATGGCCAAAAATATCTAAAGGATCATGTGGTTCACACTATCTAATACCTATTCCACTGCTTGGACCGTTTCTGTGTCAAGCTAGGGCCTGATCAGCTCAAAAAATAACATTCCCTCAACGCTATACAACAGAGACAGTCATTTCATTCTTACCCTTGAAAACAATCAGTCGAAAGTGCCAGTTCCCCCAAAATCTTTGGGGAGGGAAAGTAAACCCGCTCATATGCTGTTCAAAACACATCTCTCCTCCCCTTTGTCTATATGTCTGTCTCTCTCTCTCTCTTTCCCTCTCTATCTCTCTCTCTCTCTATCTCTCTTACATATCTTAAGACACTCACCTTCTTGCCTTTGACTGGTGCTCTAGCTTTATTAACCTTCAGGGTACTAGCTCCACCTGCTTGGCTTCCGCCTTGGGTGGACCCCTGTAAGATAAAAAAGAATATCAAGTGAAAAAATTAAATAGTCTAGAGAGTATAGATCTAGAGTTTAAATGGAAAAAATGAAATAGTCTAAATGGAGAAAATTACTTTTAAAAGCAAGAAATGGACGTCACACTGCACGTAGAACTTTAGCTTACAATTAACACATGCGCAGATCGTTCATCTGATCTCAGCCTCATTTTTATAAGTTGGCATGGGCCATTCAGATTGGCTATCGCTGTTCTGCATTCACTCAATGCTATTAGATATTTGTGCGACGAGCAAGCTTGCGATTTTTGTTTTTTTCGATACCAAAATTATGATATTTCAGTCAAACCCTCTTTTTGTTATGATTTTTTCACATAAGTATTTCACTTAAGTTTAAGTTTTACTTACCGGTACCTATTTTTAAAGTTTAAACAATTCTCATTTTCACCATATTTAAGGTACAAACTGGAAATTTATTCTGAGATGTCGTTGATTTTTCTATTTTATGTGTTTGCAATGCCGTGTGTGCGTCAGTTATGTAAAGTGCGTCACCTCTTTAAAGCAGGACGTGTCAAAATCTTGTGGTGCGACGTAATATTCAGGACTGTCAACACTCCCGCGACCACTCTCATTCTCCCGTCGTCCCACCAGCTCGAAGCGGGAGATTCCCGCCACCACACCCTTCCTCCTGCTCTCCCGCAATCTCCCGGTTTAAGAAAAATCTCCCACCAGACGTGTAAAATGCACCAGCGTACTCGTATCGTATGGATTTTTTTTGCTCAACGGAAGTGAGTACTTCAAGTTTTTTGTTTTTTTTGTTTTTACTCAACACCCCCCTTCCCTGTTGAGCCAAAAAAAAATTGCATACGATCTCCCTCGAACTCGAAGCAGTTCCCCAAAGTTGACAGCCCTGAATATTACGTATTGACTTTGCCATTGAACTTAGTTGCACGCTAAAATAAGTAGGCCCTCTCTCACTTAAATTCGAAGCCACTCGAGCAGATCGGCCAATGAGAGCGAGTAGATCTACACCACTCAATGCGCAAACTTCTACGTACTAACGTAGTACGTGCACTGAATTGAACCCTGCACCCATTTCAAAGTTAACATCCATTTCAAATTCAAGCTAGCCTTGAGCCCTTACTCTAGACTAGGCCTAGATCTAGATCTAGTTATAAAATAATTAATACTTATGTGGGGTGTGGTTTATGGCCTGGGTGCCGAGACAAGCCATAGGCATAGCCATAGCGATTATGTCGAAATGTTATGCCGGAGGTACGAGGTTGCCAAGATCAGACTCTTTCTCCAGCTCCAGCTCCAGGCAAGGCGAGAAGCCTTCGCGCTAACAACGGCGGCTGCCCGTGCTGTGCATTGGCAATGGCATGGCTGCTGACGCAAAAGTGGTCATATCAAACGAAGTTTCAATCTTTCTCGTACATATAAATATTTGTAAATAAAAGTTAAGAAAACAATGAATACATTACCCCTTTGGTCTTTATTGATTTTACCGGCATTCCTCTCTAGGCAATAGTTAGAGATTGCTAAATATTCGGAATATTGATCACACAACGACTTCAGTGACTACGGAAGCCGTCTGTTGTTAAGGTAACTGAGCATGCGCTCTCGCTAATTTCTTGTAGCAATTAGTAGTCTAAAATGCAGACTTCTAATAGTTCCTTGCATGCACCGCGGCGCGTGGTGTGGGAAATGGACGGGTTCAGGCGCGTACACAGGGGGGGGGGGGGGGGGGGGGGGGGGGGGGGGGGGGGGGAGGGGGAGGGGGGTAACCCCCCCTTTGGTATTTTTTGTGTGTAAACCCCCCCATAACCCCCCTAAACCCCCCCCTTGGGATTTTTTTTGTGTGTGTCCTCTTACCACCCCCCCCCCCCCCCCGCTTATTCAGCGGTCGGCTGAGTCGTTGCGATTTTTTTTTGGGACAAAAAAAAAAAAAAAAGTGACCTCTTACCCCCCCCCCCCCCCCCCCCCCGCTTATTCGGCGGCTGGCTGAGTCGTTGCGAAATTTTCGACCCGATTTATAAATGTTAACCCCCCCCCCCCCCCCCCCCCCCCCCCCCCTTGAAAAAATCCTGCGTACGCGCCTGGATGGGTTTATGATATCCCTGCTGAGATATTTAATTCACCAAAGAAAATCGAAAAACAAAAAAGCTACTGGGCGAACATCAGATTTCTCGATGGCCCACGATAAATACATGCAATACTTAAAGCCCCACTGTCCTTCTTGTAGCTAGTTGCTCATTATGACTTCCCCAATCGGTGCCTGTTGGTGCCTCTTTTTCTTATGTTAGTTGAGAGCTGAGTTAATGAGATAGCCACCTGTCAGTGACCTCGCTGTTTGGTCTAATCCCTTCTGGCCCAGTAGTTTTGACGGTCTTTAAAAGAACATTATGAAACACAATGGTCAGCAGGTGTGCGAAAACTTAATTTTGAAGAACAATAATTTATGGATAAGTCACTACATCAAACGGCCGGAGTTCCTTTAACACCCTGAGAATTTCTTTTTCATTAACGGTAATACAAAGTTTTGGGAATTTTTGAAAATTGGGTGGAGAGTGAATTTTTACAATTTTGATGACCCTGTGGATGTATTATAAGCACTAAAAAAACTGACCCCTAACACACTTCTGTTTTCGAGAAAAATTGAATATAAAAATTTACCGGTGCTCCCGGTAAATTTCGATAAATTTCAAATAGCGCCTACGGCCGTACAATGGTAGCTGCGACCGTGAAAATTTCAGAATATGTAGTTGTGATATATAATTTCCAAACGGGAATAGCTAATCAGTCGATTTTAGTCAAGAAACATTGTTTCATAGCTAAATTGAAATCTTGACCTTGAGAGGGAGCTATACAACATAAAGAGTTTATTATTTATAATTTCATAACTTTAGACTCGATTTCAACCGGGACAACGATCAATGAATATTGTAGGAACGCATATGCTTCCAGTATGTTAATTTGAACCAAATTCATGAACCGATACCAAAACTTTGTAATACCTTTAAGCCTTCAATCCCATCCTCCCTTTTATTTGTATTTAATTATTATTGTTATTAGTTTGCATACTGTGTTTATCAGGTTTTTTTTTTTATTTATGTCGTATCTATTTTTAATTATACACCAGAAATTGGTCTGGCACTACATGACGTACAGTTGCCCCCCCCCCCCCCTCCCCCCACAAAAAAAAAGAAATAAAAAGGAAAAGGAAAGGGTGGTGATATTAACTACTATGTATCTACTGGCTCTACTATACCTCAGGCAGTGGCGGATCCAGAAATTTTTTACCAGGGGGGGGGGGGGCACAAAATCGCGTGGGGTGAAATATATGAAAAACGATGGAGCGAAGCGACAGAGCGAGCCATCAGCGTCAAGGGATCGGGGTGACCCAGCGGGGGTAGGTCTGGGAGGGGGTCAAAAAAACCTCCAAGAATAGGGATCGTTTGCAACTTGAGAACCACAATTTGCGCATTAATGTCCACCAGTATTTCCTGGAGATAAAAAACGAGGCCTACCAATTGGTTAGAAGTTAGAGAAAAGTGATCTGTCACGTCGCAAGGTGTTGCTTCGTTGCTGCACAATGCACAAAGCCGGTTGTTTGGTACTTCACCAGAAATTATCTCGAGTGTATAAACTGCGTTGCTATCAGGGGCAACGCTAGACCTTTTTGTTGGGGGGGGGGGCGTGTAGAGGCAACTGATTACCGACAGAACTAGCCACCAATTACCGATAAATATATGAATGCCAATGTCCCAATGTCTACAAATTTAACCCTATAAACCCGGGGCCAGGAATTAACTTATTTTTCAGTATCCCTCTCCCGCGCAAAGCGCAGAAGCTCTGACACTTCATTAAATCATTAGAGAAAGAAGCCGATTCGTTCTACCGTTCCCGACTCTTAATTCTTGTTTCGCCGCTCCCGCGCGAAGCGCAGAAGTTTTGACGTTTCATTCAATTATTAGAGAAAGAAGACGATTCCTTGTCTGAATTCAGTTTTCCCCTCCAGCGCGAAAGCTTTGACGTTTCATTAAATTATTAGAGAAAGAAGACGATTCGTTAAACCGTTCTCTACTATTAATCCTTGTCTGAATTCCTTTTTCCCCTCCAGCGCGGAAGCTTTGACGTTTTATTAAATTATTAGAGAAAGAAGACGATTCGTTGTACTGTTTCGGACTCTTAATCCTTGTCTGAATTCACTTCCCCCCCCCCCCTCCCGCGCGGAAACTTTAACGTATTTTTTAATTATTACTTTTAAACCCTTGTCTGAATTCAGCTCCCCCCCCCCCCGCGTGGAAGCTTGAACGTTTCATTTATTTATACTCTTAATCCTTGTCTGAGCTCAGTACCCATCCCCCCCCCCTCCTGTGCGAAGCGCGGAAGCTTTGACGTTTCATTAAATTATTAGAGAAAGAAGACGATGTGTCACAAAAATTCTCTTTCCCGCCTTTTTCCCTCTCTTTTTTTTTTTGTGGTCTGGCAAAAAGGAGGGACGGAAGGAGTCAGCCTCCCTCGCCCCTTTCCTGGTAAAAAAAATCACTTTCTTTCTTTTCCCTTCTCATTATTCTCCTTCCCCCCCCCCCCCCCCCCTTTCTCTACTCCGTCTTTCCCTCCTTTTTTCTCCTCTTTCTTCTTTTTCTCCTTTACCCTTTTCTTCTTCTTTCTCTCTTCCCTTTTCTGTCTTTTCTCCCTCCTTTTTCTTTTCCCCCTTCTCCCTCCCCCTTTTTTTACCGGGGGGAGGGGGGGGGCATGTGCCCCCTTGAATCTCCATGGATCCAGGGGGCCTGGGCCCCCTCCCCTGCCCCCAAGTTTTTGTTGATGTTGTTGGGGTGTTGTGATGTGATGTGATATGACATTATATGAGTAAGGGATCGTTAGAGTCTTTCCAAAATGTGAGGAATGGATGTTAATGAAATAGGCCCCCACTTATGTGCAAAGGAATGACATGAGCCAGTATCCAATACAGTGGGACAGTCCCGGACTGTATACCCATAATAAAAAATCTAGTCCGAATAGGTCATTTTCATAATGCAACCAAATTTAATGCATATGTCTTTGTGAAGTACAAATTATTCCATTCACCTGTTACAAATAACTGAATTTCAATACGAGGTAGTCAGAATGCATATTGCATACATCTCATTTCGCTAGGAAGGGCAAACCATAATGTTTGTCCTACCAAGCAACACATTATGTATGCAATTCGAATTCTGACAATTGAAGAAAGAAAAAAAGATAAAAAAAAGTTAATAATCCTTCTAGACCTTAGCAAATTAAATACAAGTTAATATCAATGGAAAGATGAATGATCGTGGAGTACAAATTTAAACAAATAAAACACATTTTCCATTTCATTATTGCACGGAAGTTAAAACCTAATTTTCAGTTCCCCCTCCAAATTATGGGTCAACAGGGGTCAAATTTGCCTCAGTTTACAGTGGCGACATAAGGCCTAAAAAAAAAGATGTTGTATTGCCCTTTAGGTGCCAAAACATGGGTCGGTCGGTCGGTCAGTCGGTCAGATTTTTTTTTTCTTTTCTCTCTCTGTCTTTTGGCTGATATTTCTCAATTTTGAATGCTTTAATATTTTTTTCCCCTAAAAAACGGTTTAAAAAAAAAGCTGACCGTAGATTTCAAGATTCTTGGGTAGGTCTCAAGGGCAATACAACATTTTTTTTTTTTAGGCCTAACATGTAAACCTGATCGGCTGGCCTATGTAGCCGAGGCGATGAGCCATGCTTAATTACCGGTAATTCATTGTGAATATGCCTACTCCACATAAGATGATGTCATAAGGTTACTACCGGTAACTACCAATTTTCAAAAATTGAGATTTTGAGATTTCAGAGAGCTATTTCTCCTCTTGATGGACTCTAAAATGGCATATATTTGATATTATTGTAATCTAGAGGTCTTATACGCCTTCTGTTGATATATAATTCATAACAGGGTCATTAAGAAATAACCACTTAGTTCTAATAACATGGACAGATATACCATGCCCAAAATGTTACTCTCTGGGGCCATTTTATCGAAACTGTAAAAAGTCTTAATTCTTAAAAATCCCACGACGACATCTGAAGTACACTTTAAAAAAAAGTCATCATAAAGAAATGGCACGAGAGGGATTCACGTGTTCTTACACACAGAGCAATAATGAGGATGTTACATGTATATTTCTTATTAAATACAAATTGCACAAAATTTTTAAAGAAAATCCTTTCATGCAAAGGCACTATATATTTGTATCAAATACAAGAACTAAATCATAATTTTCAACTTAAAATAGATCGCAAATATTATCCTTCTAAACTACCTCAAAACGCAAAGGCCATCAACGATGTTCTGCTATATCTAGGAAGAAAAAAAAAAAGCAAGTTCTTTTTTGCTTTTAACTGCAAATATCTCTTAGTCATACTTTCCAAAAGAGGACAGTACTGAGGCAATAGTAGGGAGCGATTATTCAAACTGTAAAATTTGCACACAAATATACATGTAGCATTGCTTATTTCAGCCTATCTAGCTTTTCATTCTACTGCATTACCTTGCAAAGGAAATCAGAATATTTCATGCACAAATAAACAGCCTTTTCAAAAACATGCATTGAAACATTACAGGTATATAAATGACAACATAGATTATTCACAATGAAAAGGAAAGTGTTCCTATAATTTCAGACATTTTAACTCTTGCTTTAATAGATGGGTGATGTGCATCATTATATAATTAAACAAAAGAAGAAGATTATGTTTATATCATTCTTCCCCAAAATGAAACCCTGAAATGTGAGATAAACCCTGTGTTTTTGCTTGCAGTGGAAATGCCCTCAATCCTCATCATTGGATATACATGTTCCTCAAAGGATTGTTCACGTACGTACGATGCAAGAAACCATAGCATTTTTTAAAACACATAAATGTCCTGGACTCTCTGAAAGACAGCTGCTGAGGCTGCAGTGTGTTACCATGATAACATAAATAAATGAACTGAATGGAAAGTGGGGATGGCAAATATTTGCTGCTCATAATGCTTGTATGCAATTATGTCTGTGTTATAAAAAGACAGAAATGTGAACCGCATTACGCTTACATGTACATACAATATATGATGTCATACAATTTATCAAGTAATACATGATTGAGCAATTATCAAAATATTATGTGTCCCTGCAAAGCGTTCAAAGCTATTTGGAAGACAGTTTTTTTATTATTATGATCATCATGGTCTGAGATCTAAAACAATCTTCAAATCCATGACTTTGATAACTACAATGCAGTTTTATCTTTAATTCACAATTACAAGTTACCCCAAAATAGAAGATTGTACAGTACACCTAAGGGAATCAAAAAGAGGGAACAACTTGAAGATTAGTATTTTATAGAAGTTGGTCTCTTTGGCAACAATCCCTTGCACACAAAAATACATAATCACAATGTGCCTGGTATAAATGGATGTAGGGATGAATCTACATGAAATTGGAAGCACAATGGCAAAATTAAAGATTTTAATATGCTCTATATCTGAAGAAAAAAATAATAGTAGAAAAGCTGTCAAATTTTATGTCCAACTCTTTTTTAACTAAAATCTTATTAATAACTTATGATAAATTTTCATTAAAAAGTAGATTTTCTATATATCCTGCCAAAATATACATATTGCCATCTATATTGACACAACTAAAAAATTGTTAAAGCCAGAGAAATTTATCTACATTTGTTACCATTTACAGGTGTTTAAATGTTGCAAGAATTTTTTCAGCAGTGTGTCTTGTGCTGAGTAAAAGTGTGAGATTAAATGCAGAAATATTGCATTTTCATTAAAAAACTATGCATTACCATGTTTAACCATTACAATATTGTTTGACTATGGTGATTTGAAGAGCAATCCTTTTCAGGAGATATTTCTAATATAAAAATGTTCAAAACTGACATACAAAGAATGACCTCACAAAACTATTTTTCATCCTAAACAAAATTCAGCAGTTCAGCATTCTTGTTAATTTAAAACCAATAAGTTTTGAAAAATTACAAAAAACTGTATGTTCAAACTCTTCTCCTGGGTACATGACAAATTAAATTATTCTAAAGTACACAATTTGATAGCTTTCAGTGTTGTTACTCAACTATAATTTTCGATATGGTTCAGCCAGGTTAAGAATTTTTTGTGAATAAAGGTTTGGTTCTTGTATGGCAAATTTGCACCACCATGTGCATGTGCAACTTCTTATGGGCGCCGCCAGTTGAGAAGGCCTGATCTATTGAGTCTAATCAAGTAACTTCTTGGTCTAATGTAACTATCTCTGTTGTCCTGAAGAATTTTAAAACCAAAATGAATCAGGGGTGTTGCAAATTCATGTGACAAGTCACTTTTTGATTTAACAACAAAGAAATTTATGTTTTAAAAAGTAGGTCTACAACCTATACTTGTTTTCAGTATCACTTTATGAATTGATGAACTATTTGTTGCATAACATGTTTATTTATTTTACCAAACTGTCGAACATGACAATAATGTTTGGTTCTGTTCGGTTTCAGCGAACTTCCATTTGGTTTGGCGGTTAGGCTACAGTACTAATAGCTTATATGTGATCTCTGAAGCTAAGATATTTCCTTTTTATATTTTGCATTGGTCATTTAGCAACTTCTCAGCATTCTTAAGATAGATGGTTTATTCTATAGTATAGCATTTACATCTAAAAGTACACATTTATCAGCTTGATGAGACCATCTGAGAAAACAAGAACCCTGTCGATGAAATAGCATCCCCAAGTCCAACAGTTTTCACAGGATTTTTACAAACTAAAACTGGTGTAAAATGAAATTGAATGTTATCTCTTGTCCATGATATAACCGGGTTTTGAGGATCAACGCTGACTATCCTATGCCTGAGGGGAGCATGGTTGATAGACAAGGCGAATGCTTGTGGGACACGTAGTTCTACTTTCTCGTCCACAATCCTGCCATCATCGCAAGCCTGCCGTCCGGCGATCCTTGCTCCGGCCGACACAGCTGCAGCATTGTTGATCCATGTGCCATTCATCGTAGCCACAATGTGAAAGGCAAGACTGTGGAAGTGCACCCTGGTAAGTGTGGAGGACCATCCTGCAGCGCTGGACTGTTCAGCCTTGGTGAGCCAGGAACCCTGTTGCGTAGAGGTCAAGATCCAGTAGAGGATATCAGCTACAGCACCCACCTCTGGATAGCCATCCCTGATGTAGACCTCAGGGTGAGGACCGGAGTTGACAGATGACATGAAGCTCAGCTCCTGCTCATTCAGGCCAAGGGAGTGAACTGATGACAGAACCTGAAAGAGAATGAAAGGTCACAGTTAATATTGGATAGATTGTGCAAAAACTGCATATACACATTTGTAGTTATCAGTTATGGTTTATGAAAGGATAATATTCACAAATATGTATACTTAATGAACAAGAACCTGGAATGATTCTAAAGAAACTCTTATCAGTTTGCCCCCTCAAATATTTCACATTTTTTCTTGACACACACACATACACATCAACAATTTTCTTTCTTTAATTATTTAAATTGTGAAATATTCCTTCTTTATAATCAGAATGTATTGATATCATTGTATTAAAGGTGCAAATAGAATTATGAAAGTAACTTAAGAGGTAGAGCCTACAATGATTATCAGTATGTCTGTTTGGAGCTAGAAGGGAATTCTTTCATGTTAACACCCTTCTTGCCCTGAACAGGCAATTTGTTCCAAATACATGTAGCACAGATTTTGTTTTGATTACATCAGGAATACTTGCATCATTGCATGCACCCTGATTATCAGCCCCTGGACAACTACCTCATTTGATTTCATAAAGCCTGCAGAAAATGACACTGGAGCAAATGTTGGAATATCTCGCAATTAAACATGATTGAATGATAGTACTGTATGTTAAAGGTTAAGACCAGTTTTGGAAACGCCCCCCTCTCAAAAAAAATGAAATGGAAGCTCTCATTACCAATCATGTGAAAGAATATGTTTTGACTAATATGTGGTGATACAAATTTTGCCAGGAAACCGCCTACTAATTGATATATTTGGTAAATTATCATATCTATCCAGCCTGGATAGATATCGCGTAGTCCCATATACATCTTTCTGTGTACAGTGCTTGAAACTTTACCAAGACCGGGCCAAATTTCTGATCATTTTGATGATTCCAGAACCTTGCAGTACACACCAATACTTAGATGCTAGATGATCAACCTTTTCTGATCGATTTCACAATGCAACCGCATGACCAGAACTGGTCTATACCTTTAAAAGCAAGAAGGGTATTAACTTGTAATAATTGAATTAACGTCCCTCTGACTCTAACAGACAGTATGATCCCTTTATATTCCCATCACACTACTGACCTGTGTATATATGCCTTTGATCAACTCAGGATCTGCCATGCTAGCCAGCTCTAGATGAACAGGTAGGTCTGATGGCAGACGAGACAACTCTTGATTAAGAGCAGCCATCTTCTCTTCTTTCTTCACTCCTGGCTGGCCATCCAGCAGATGAAGGCCAGAGAAAAATACAGCATCTGGTGAAAAGTCTTGTTCGATGAACAACATAGAGAGGAAGTAACGTTAGCGAATGTGAACAGATATTTACAATTGGAATTCAAAATTTCAAAAACCGTACACTACAGTGTATTGGGAAAAATGAGTACCAGTATGGTAAAACCGGCCACTCAAAGGCTTTTATTTTTTTGAGGTACTTCATGATCATTTTGAAGTGTAATTGTTTGGGGCTTCGATATTACACCATATTACAGACGCTGATAAAACGTATGGCCATACATCTCAGAGTTGGCTTTGTTAAACGATGCCTTTAATAGCATCCCAAGACTCACATGGCAATTCATCTGGAGAATAAAAGAAAGACTAGAGCACTGAATATCCTAATCTTAAATTTACATGGGAAGGAGTCTCCAGTGTCATGGTCTAGCTGCCAAATTTCCTCAGCAAAAATTAAAAATAAATTGAAGCAAAATTAGGAATACAATGTATTTTTAATATATTTTACCCCAAAAAGAAATCACAAAAAGAGAAGAATCTAAGGCTAATTACAGTAGTCAGAATGTATCCACATAGAAATGATTCTTCAAAAAAAGGAATGGGTTGGAGCTATTATGGCAAACTTTCACATACTTATCTAGATACTTATCTATTAACCCCTCTCATCCCAACCAACAAAAATCACAACAAGAAAAACTTGAACATAAAATGTGTCAACATTAGCATGCTTGGTGTACATTCTTTTTCTCCCATTCACCAAAATCTTACTGCACGTGCAAAAACATTAACATATTCACAAATACTTATAAGATTCCTAACACTATGCATATTGATCTCCCTAAAATATGTTCAAACTCTGAACCCTAACTTAAGTTCTTATTCTGTTCTGTTTCACATTCATAAACTAGAAAGCTAAAACCAAACAATGAAGCTACCAACTGGGGAGTAAAGGAATAAAATTAGGGCATATGTGAACTGTGACTGCTTGCCTGAATTCGGGAATGAAGTTTTGGTATGTCTTTGTTGAATGATATTCCTAAATGTACAGTGTCTTCTTTATAATCCTCATCCAGGTAGATCTCACCTGTCACACTCCTTGAGAACTCTGAGAGGGCACTCATCTCCGTATTGGAGACATCGTAAGATGAGATGAACCGTGTCGCGACCTTTGCCTCGTAGTCGCCCCACCTCTCATTGCGTTTGAACTCCATGATGAGATGAACTTCATCCGTTTCCTTGTAACTTGGCTTTGGGACAATGATGTTTGGAGGGAGGAGTGCTCGAACTCGAGGACCACAAGGGCCAATGAGCAGCACCTGTCGAGCAAAAGGAGAATTCCAAGAGAAACCAAGATAAATACCATGAGTAATCAGATTCTTTATTAAACTTAAGGAGAAGGTTCAGTTCTGGGGAGAGGTGAAAAATAATTTGAAGCGTTATTATTGTTATTATGCAAGTGTGGAAGAACATCAGAGGAAAAATGTTCCCTGAAAAGCATGGCTCTTCAAATGACTTCATATTCTAAATATGACAAGTAACAGCTTAAATATAAGGCCCAATTTTTATGCCACATGTTTGCGTAGTCCCATATACATCTTTCTGTGTACAGTGCTTGTTACTTTACCAAAACTGGGCCAAATTTCTGATCATTTTGATGACTCCAGAACCTTGAAGTACACACCAATACTTATATGCTACATGATTAACTTTTTCTGATTGATTCCACACTGTTTCTTTCACAATGCAATTGCATGACCAGAACTCAACTTTATCTTTAAATCTTATGAATTAAAATGCTAAATCTACTCCTGGAAGAAAATTTGTTAATGATCACATGAGTGACCAAGAGACCATATCGTCTACTTGGGACAAGAAGTATATGAGTTAATGCCCTTCTGGCTCCAAACAGACGATATGTTAGTTAAGGTATCGAGATAATAACCAAACCTCAAACACGTTCAAATTTTAACAATTTTTTGTGCACTTTCATATATGTTTTAATCCAGATCATTTAGCACTGGATTGCTAATCCATTTATAAATTATAGGAGTTAACAGAAATCAGAAAAAAGTCTTTCATTAACCAACTTTCAGATCCATATCTTATTGGACCTTTCAAATTGAAACTAAAGAGGAATTAATGAAGGGCAATTCAACATATGCTCCAGTGACAGTTGCTCAGGCTATATATCTCATCAAAAATATAGGGTTAGGGTTAGGATTTGGTAGAATTGGGTTTTTAAGTCAAGTTTTTCAAGTGTTTCAACAGTTTGGTAGAGGGTTGTTGAAGTTAAGAGTAGACTTCAGTCAGTGTAGGCTATTGACCGTGGAGTAATTTGAATCCTGAGCATGTGTTGTACAACCCCAAAAAAAGGAGTTATATGCGAAGTGGTTCTCACCTCTAGTCCTTTCCATGTGTCAGCCATTTTGAGTCCTGCCAGTGCAGCATTCCCACCAACAAAGTACTGAAGAAACAGCAATCAGAAAAGGATACATATATGGAATAAAATAAAAATAATAATAGAATAAACCACTGGTTGGGCTGAATTACTGCATCATTATTGCACGAAATGTCTTTACCTTGCTATATATAACATTTGTCTTTTATTTTTGTTAGATTCAACCTGTATTACATATACATAATCTATGCTTTAGCAAAATGACTTGTGAAGTCTATTCAATAGACATCAATTTTACTTTCAGTATTTTTTTCTTCTGTTTTGAAAGAGAGTCAAAAGTTCCTGCTGAATGTTAAACAAATTTGAAAGAATTTGGCCTAAAATATGGACATGTAATCATTGGAATAAAATGCAAGAATGAACAGAAACCTGAAATCAAACAATACAAACTAAAATGGGATGAGTACAAGATGAAAAGCTTCATAGTATCTGTACATCTGTAAATATGTATTTACTGTTTACAAATTTCTCTATGATTTCAATAAATATTTGTCAATAGCAGTGACCATCACATTCATAATTTTATTTGATTACCGTATGTAGATCAATGCCATTATCAGATGGGGCCCTACATGTATAACAAAAAACTTAGTCATTGATTGTACAATTGATTTTTGCGATTGATTGTAAAGAGTGATCAATGCAATCCATTGCAAAAATAAAGTTTACATCACTTGCTAATCTTTGTGTAATGCCTAAGGGGGGCCTAGATAATTATTTACCTGTTTTTCATCCAGGCTATCTGCTGCCTGTACTACCTTCTCAAAGTCTTCACTCCTTGAAAATATTCTCTCAATGGCTGCACCGTTTTTGAGAGAAAATGCGAAAGTTTGCTCCAGCTCCTCCAAAGATTCAATAACTGCATTATCAATGGCTTGACCTGAAGAGTCTATTCCAAGTTTCTTCAAAACTGCTGTTCCAGAGACTATTAGGTCTGTATTTACATTGACTCTGGAAAACAGGAAAAGGAAAATATAAGCACATGTAGATCTATGAATCTATGATCAAATTATGAATTTGTTTTGCATTTGTATAAACATCTTAGATGAATTTAGAACTAATTAAGAGGGCAATCCAACCCTTGTAATAAGTTCATTTGTATGAGAGCAGAACAATATTATCAAGATTTTATAAACAAAATGGTGAGAGTTTGAAATAAATTGGACCAATATAATAAGAAAATTATGAATGTTTGAAATAGTCTATGGGATCACGAAGTCTTAAATTGGCAGTTTGGTCAGTGGATTGTGACATAGATCTAGATTTAGTCACATAAAATATAATTTGTTTTTCTTCTCGTAAGTGCCTTCTCCCTTGTGGCACTACTGTAAATACATCATGAATAGCATGTTCTTAATTATAGGTGCTCTAAACTAGAGCCTTTATTTACCCCCGCGCCCCGTCTCTACCGATGCATTTACCTGCATCGTACACATCCAGATCTAGATTATAGATATCAGAGACTGAAGCTTTCGGTGTAGGCCTACTCTAACTCCAGGGAGCTCCTCCCCCGCCTTCTGCGGCGGAGATCCCTGGAGTTTAGACCTAGATCTCTATAGGCCTAGGGCCTACCTACTCTTCACTACATTTTGAAAAAGGTCCTCTGCACTGCAGACTGCATCCTCCCAAAACACTTTTTTCTCAGGCTTTCCTTGCAAGTTGCAGAGCTAATTAAGCATTAGGCCCTATGCATATGCTGAATTAGAAAAAAACAGAAGGAATGTTTTACAAACCCGACAGCGATTCTTGACTTGTTTCGGAGTCCATGCAATGAGAAACCGGCAGCAATGACATTTCCCCAAGCTATTGCGATTTGTGACTCCACAGATATTGCACTTCTATCATGATTGAAATGCACAGAATAGTACAAAGAAACTGCAATAAGAACAACACCAATGACAAACGTATTAGAAAACATGATGGAAATATTGAGTCTTCAACGATGATGATTCTCTATCATTCAAGTTAGCCGCCGACTCCACATCCAAAGCGAACCCGCCGACCGTGCAATACGTGGCTATGCGTGTGAAGATAAAAACCAGCAGCGGCTCACCGACACCTAGCGGGGTAGCGCTGGCGGCTCGGCCTTAGAGTTAACTCGGCAAAGAAATGCGACGATTCCGACTATGGTATCGTTGAAAATACAGACAATACGACAAGAACGGTACAACGAATCGTCGATCTTCTAATAATTTAATGAAATGTCAAAGCTTTCGCGCTTTGCGCGGGAGGGGGAAACTGATTTCAGACAAGGATTAATAGTCGAGAACGGTACAGCGAATCGTCTTCTTTCTCTAATGATTTAATGAACCTCAAGCAGGAGGGGAAAACTGAATTCAGACAAGGATTAAGAGTCGAAAACAGTAACGATGATCGTCTTCTTTCTCTAATGATTTAATAAAACGTCGAAGCTTCCGCGCTTCGCGTGGGAGGGGGAAACTGAATTCAGACAAGGATTCAGAGTCGAAAATAGTACAACGAATCGTCTTCTTTCTCTAATGATTTTATAAAACGTCAAAGCTTCAGCGCTTCGCGCGGGAGGGGGGGTAACTGAATTCAGACTAGGATTTAGAGTCGAGAACGGTACAACGAATCTCTTTCTCTAATAACTTATTGACACGACAGGTTTTTGCGCTTCGCGCGGCAGGGGGGAAACTGAATTCAGACAAGGATTAAAAGTCGAAAACTTTATAACTAATCGTCTCCTTTCTTTTATTAATTTAATGAAACTAGAGTCCGCGCTTCGTGCGAATTGTCTTCTTTCTTTAATAGTTTAATGGATCGTCTCGGAGAAATTAGCTTCTGCGCTTTCTCTAATGATTGAATAAAACGTCAAAGCTTCCGCGCTTCGCGTGGGAGGGGGAAACTAAATTCAGACAAGGATGCAGAGTCGAAAACGGTACAACGAATCGTCTTCTTCTCTAATGATTAAATAAAACGTCAAAGCTTCCGCGCTTCGCGCGGGAGGGGGGGGGGGGAACTGAATTCAGACTAGGATTTAGAGTCGAGAACGGTACAAAGAATCTCTTTCTCTTATAACTTAATGAAACGACAGGCTTTCACGCTTCACGCGGGAGGGGGAAAACTGAATTTAGACAAAGATTAAGAGTCGAGAACGGTTCAACGAATCGTCTTCTTTCTCTAATAATTTAATGAAACGGCAGGCTTCTGCGCTTCGTGCGAATCGTCTTCTTTCTCTAATTTATGAATCGAAAGCTTCCACGCTTTCTCTAATAGTTTAATGAATTGAGAAAGCTTCCACGCTTTCCCTAACGATTTAATAAAACGTCAAATCTTCTGCGCTTCGCGTGGGAGAGAGGAAACTGAATTCAGACAAGGATTCAGAGTCGAAAACGGTACAACGAATCGTCTTCTTTCTCTAATGATTTAATGAAACGTCAAAGCTTCCGCGAAAACAGTACAACGAATCGTCTTCTTTCTCTAATGATTTAATAAAACGTCAAACTTCCGCACTTCGCGCAAGAGGGGGGGGGGCAACTGAATTCAGACTAGGATTTAGAGTCAAGAATGGTACACCGAATCTCTTTCTCTAATAACTTAATGAAACGACAGGCTTTCGCGCTTCGCGCGGGAGGGGGAACTGAATTCAGACAAGGATTAATAATAGAGTCGAAAACGGTACAACGAAACGTCTTCATTCTCTAATTATTTAATGAATCGTCAAAGCTTCCGCGCTTCGCGGGGGAGGGGGCGGGGAACTGAATTCAGACATGGATTAAGAGTCGAAAACGCTTACGAATCGTATTTTTTCTCTTATAATTTAATGAAACGTCAAAGCTTTCGCACTTCGCGTGAGAGGGGGAACTGAATTCAGACTATAGGATAAAGAGTCGGGAACGGTACAACGAATCGTCTTCTTTCTCTAATAATTTAATGATATGTCAAAGCTTCCGCGCTCCTGGCTTAAAGCGTTAATTTTGTAGACATTAGGACAATGGCATTAATATATTTATCGGTAATTGGTGACTACTTTTTTCGGTAATCAGTAGCCTCTATACCCCCCCCCCCCCCCACTGAAAAAGGTCTAGCGACGCCCCTGCATGTCGTCATTGAAATTTTGACTTGACAAGTCAAAATTTCCTTCTTAGGTATGCCCTAGATTGCACATTTTCAAGTCGAAAAATGCAAAGCTCCCTACCGCAGGAGGGGCCCACACCTCCCCCGCTCGGTCGCTACGCTCCCTCGCAAAGATTGCGCCCCCCCTACAAGAAAAAAGTTTTCGTTCAGTACGCCACTAATTAATCTCGTTGAAATGAAGTATTGTATAAAGCATAATTTATTGTCATCCCATGCTCACTGTCTCCCACGAGCTTGGATTTGGAGTAGGTTTGTATTGTCGGGACTCGTGGAAGAGGTTGGCAATCATATTCAATTTGCTTATACTATCGTGTTTGTTTTTTGTTCCTCTTTATTATTTTGAAAAGGACAAAGAAAGGAAGAAGGAAGAAACAAAAGTTGTTAAAGTATTATGATTGGTATTGGCCACAATTTTTGTGCCGAAATGTGATCAAAAAGCTAGTGCTGCCTCATTTGAATAACAGTACCGACTTTGTCATCGCAAAACTCAAAAGTAAAACATTGAAATCAATACCTTTCAGAATTATTATGTCGTTGTTGAATAGACAGCATATCTGGCTCCGCGCCACCCATCGTGTAGAATAGATGTGATGAGATATTAAGAGCCAAAACGTAATTACAGGGTCGGCTGCTAAAAGTGCCCCCTCTTACACAGGGCAAGACCCTTTCCCATCTGGTAAGTGCCCCTTTAATTTTCAGGTAAGAGAAGTGCCGATTTTCCTTTTTCAAATTTGACCTTTTTCTTCTAATTAGTGCCGATTTTCCTTTTTAGTAAGAGCCCTTTTCCCTTCCCATACATGTTCACCACCGATAATTGGCCATTTTTTTTTACCTCTACAAATACCACTTTTCCTTTATAATTAGTGCTTCTTTTCCATTCTCATTAGTGCCATTTTTCCTTTTAAAAAGGGCACCACCTTTTTTGTTCATAAGATCCCCTCCACTTTCCGATGATTGTCCATTTTCACCTCTGATAAAGGCCCCTATATTTTAATTTGATAAGTGCCCCCTTTTCCTTTGCAAAAAGTTTCACTTTTCCATTCTCATAAGTGCCCTTTTTATATCTGGTAAGTGCCCCCTTTCCTATGAGAAGTGTCTCCTTCACCTCTGATAATTATCCTTATTCAAATCTTACAGGTACACGTTTTACTTTGACAAGTGCCCCTTTTCCTTTGTAATAATACTTCCCCTCCTGTTGAATGCTCATTTTCTTCTTTGTTAAGTGCCTATTTTATTTTGATACGTACCCCTTTTCCTTCTCATAAATGCCCCCTTTTCACCCAAAATAATTACCACTATCAAAATCTGATAGGTGCCCCTTTTCTTTATAATAAGCGCGCCTTTTCAACGGGCACGTAGCCAGAGTTTGATGTTTTTTTTTTTTGGGGGGGGGGAAGGGGGCACATACATGTAAGCGATCGAGGTAAAACAAAAAAAAGGGGGGTCTAAAAAAGTTCAACCGATCCTGGAATTTTTGGGGGGCACGTGCCCCCACCCCCCCCCCCCCCCCCCCCTCGTGGCTACGTGCCTGATCATGATGTTAATGATGATGATGGTGATAAAACTACGATAAAAATAATAATAATGATAATAAGAACAACGAGTATGATAATAATAATGACAATTATAGTGATAATGACAATTATAAATACATTTTAAATGAAAGAATAGATAAATAAGTAAATATATAGATAACAAAAAAGTAAGAAACAAATTAATGAAGTAATTTGTTTTGATGGCATGATGGCGGTTTTGAAATGCAGGTGCAGTTGTTGAGTTTATAATCAGAATAAATTTTAGATAAGGTTGTTCTCCCAATTCTGAACTGACCCCCCTCTCCGTCTGATATTTACAGGGTTGAGTTCAACCCCGATCTGGAACAACTGCCCTTGACCTACCCCTCCCCACCAGACAAAGTCGGCTCTCATTGGTTGAGATGAGGATCACGTGTCTTGATACATACCATCGTACATCTTCTCAATATTCAGAATGGAGTGAGAGCGCCGCGTCTCAATTGAGGTGAGCACAATTTATTGAGTTATCGGCATGATTAGTTTACCTTTAACCATGTGATGTAAAATACACGATTGTTCTTACGCTTTTGTCGATATAAGAAACAAATTTGAATTAGATTTATGTGGAAAATAGCCCGAAATGAAGTCAGCAACAATTATTTCGTTCACAGAAAATCGGTAGGTCTCTTATTAAAACAGAAATAGATTTTCAATATTATCATTCATACAATCTATTAACATGTATGTACAGCATAAACGAATAATATTATGTAATGGTCTTTCATGATCTCAGTGGAAATATTTGTTTTATTCTTTTTAAATACCTGATACCTTTGACAATCAAGACCCGCAATCTTGATCACCAGACGGTCACCAAATCTAGTACTATTGCGATCACACCTTCAGGAGATTCCAAAGTGGTATATCCCCTTACCCCTCGTCCCATCAAAACTTCCGCACAAAATCTAATCGAACGCGGATGTCTCATTTGGCTGTCGCTATGTCTGGCAGGACTTCTGAGTTTCGGTTTTACCCTTTACATCAACCTGGATTACTCAGAGTTCGCTACTGCAGTGGTAATGAACGTATTGGACATTCTCATTACCACTGCAAATGTCATAGTGGCAGCCCAGCCCCCCCCCCCCCAACTCCGAGAACGGACGGACCCCACGCGTGTTACCAAAATGTCCGGTAAAAGGGTACTTTTCGTGCGACAAAGTCCGGCCTGAGAATTGTAAAAAAAAAAAAGGGGTGTATTAACTTTTCACCCGGAGATTTCTTTAAAAAGGGGGTGTTTTTTCTTTTTCTCTCTCATCTCTTTGGACTCCTGAGAAATTCCAAATTCAGGGGGGTACATTGAGTATCTTTAATGATTTAGGGGGGTCTCCAAGGCAGGAAAAGCCAACGGAAAGCCCGCGAAAGGGGGGTTCGGAATTGTTGGCAGTCCTCAGATAGGGGGTGCTTTCAAAAAGAGG